GAATGATCACGTGACTATTCTGGTGAACACCTGCATGAAATATACAACACTTCTAACCTGATTTGACATTTGTTTATATAAACAATAGTAACCGACAAAGCAATCGGCGGTGGGGTTTGTCCAGCGAGGTTAAAGCGTTGACTCGTCACATCAATTCACCACATGGGTACACCCTGTAGAGCCGATTTTGACGCCCTTCTCCGTAATATGGCTTGGATTTTGTTCGAAATTTCGCAAATGATTTTGTAATAATATATGGTATCTTTTAGCGGTATTCATCATAATATAATGGAGATGTAATACAGTGGATGCATGGTCGACCATGAGTTGTCAAGTGCCTTAACATTTTAATGCATTTTAATCATAATGATGATTATGAAAATCAAATTATTAAAGAATTATGAACAATATGTATAAAGTACCACACGAGCAAAAACGTATGTGCTGAGGGTCAAAGGAGAGTAGGCCTATACCGAGTTTTTTTACGAAATGGGAAATTATTGAAAGAACTGTTGTTAAATTTGATTATGTCTATTTAACCATCACTCATTCCTGCAACAGATTGTGAAATGTAATCTGTGGCTGAATAATTTTGTGTTAAATATATTGGTTCAATGAAGACTGTGGTAGGAAAAGAACTTGTAACCACATGACCCCTAACATGTTTATAAGTTAATAATTTATGCCGAAAAGAGCAAGTATATTGATTTTCAAGATAAGATTCCAAAGATACCCATCACACCCATCGTATCCCAATTGAGTGGACCCGTGAAGATCCGGGGTAGAATAGGTCTTCAGCAACCCACGCTTGTCGTTAAAGGCGACTATGCTTGTGCTTATTATTGTCTGGTTACTGAGCGCCGTCATATAGCTGGAATATTGCTGAGTGCGGAGTTAAACAAAAACAAACAAACAAATCTTAGGCGCCGCATTTCGCTGTGCAGAGTTGCGTCCATTGGGCTGCCAAGAAACCTATGTTCGTGGGTTCGAATCTCGGTTCGCACGATTATGTTGCTTGGTTTGTCAGCTCCATACTCGTGGGTTTCACCAAAGTGGTAAACGTCTGAGTCCTGCGAGGCTGGCGTGCCAAAGGGGCGCTCAGCGAATTGCGGCGTCTGAGAGGACTGGGCTGCCCTCTCATGAAATAGAAGATGAAAATATATATGATGTGAACGATATACAATATATGGCAGCATATGGGAACAGTTTTTAGTTTAACTATAAAGGCGTTACAAGATATTCTGGAAAACAGCGTTCGCATTTCGGTATACCTGTACCCTGTCATGTGATCTGTGTAAATAACATTGAAACTTTTCTTGTGGATTAAACTTGAAAAACTCCTCGGCAAGCCTCGGAGTGTTTTTATCAACTCGTGCTGATACATTTGCTATCAAAAGATACCCGGTCGAGATTCTCTATATCCAAAATATAATTGACAATATAGTTGTCAAAAGTGTTAATATTTCAATGTTGTATCTTTAAAATATGTAGTGTTGAGCCAGGTCACACCATACACTGATGCCCAGAAAGTACAGGTCCGGTCCCCAGAAGAGCCTCGGTCCATCATGGTCTACAGTCGCTGTCCAGTGTACCCCAGAAGCATGGCACACCGTGCTTCACAGTATGAAGTACAAAATAATATTTGGACAATAAATAATCACACAATGTAAATACTATATGCAAATAGTGTCTGTATTGAACTATTTTGTATATCTATTAAATTCTATATTGTAGCAAGATTGTCTTTTGATGTAAAAGTGTAGTTTGGATGACATATGAAAGTATAGTGTGAATGACATATAAAAGTGTAGATCTGATACAATTTGTATCAGTTAACTGATGACATTTGTATTTAGGCACCCAGTGAGGCCGAAAGTAGGCATGACATGCCTGACACAGCTGATGACTATTACACCTACTTTTACAATCACTTCGTCAGTGTACATATTATTTTGACAAATCTATCTTAAAAAATTGTTTTATTTTTCAGGTCCCTCAATGATAATATGGAAGAAAATAAAAGCGACAAAACCCTATAAATCGGCATCAGTCCGGACTAGTACAAGCAGCACACACGCGCACACATTTGCACGCACGTCGCTATGTAAGTGTGATAATCTTGGACGCAACGTTGAACCCCATTTCACCTCACCTCACCTCACCTCACCTCACCTCACCTCACACAACTTCCTATGGAGGATTTGTAAGGCCTTCACGCCACTAAAGCTTTGTGTTGGAGTGAGTGAGTGAATATAGTTTTACACCGCTTTCAGCAATATTCCAGCAATACCACGGCGGGGGACACCTGAAATGGTCTTCACACATTGTACCCATGTCGGGGGTCGAACCCGGGTCTTCGGCGTGACGAGCGAACGCTTTAACCACTAGGCTACCCGACCGCCCCCTTTGTGTTGGAAATGACGTCACAGGGTCATCTTTCCGATGTATGACCTAGCATGTTACTTCTCCCATTCGTGACAGTGATGCGATTGGCCAGCACCATATGAGGTGAGGTGAGGTGAGGTGAGGTGAGGTGAGGTGAGGTGAGGTGGGGTGGGGTGGGGTGGGGTGAGGTGAGGTGAGGTGAGGAGAGGTGAAATGGGGTTTAACGTCGCGTCCAAGATTATTGCATTTATATAGCGACGTGCATGTACGTGTGTGTGTTTGTGTGGCTGCTTGTACTAGTCCGGACTATGCCGATTTATAGTGCTAGCTCACTGAGATACCATGCCGCAGTTTAACATGAATACCCCACTCAGACACAGTATACTGACTCCGAGCCGACCAGTCCTTGTTTTAGCCCCTTAATGCCGAGCGCAAGGCAGGGTAACAACAAGTACCATCTTTTAAAGTCTTTTGGTATGACGCGGCCGGGGATCGAACCCTGGACCTTCCGCTCTCTGGGGGAACCTTTACCATTAGACCACGGAGGCGGTCTTGCACCATATGAATCGGGATCAAAAGGAAGCTGTGAATTGGTCCAGAGTATTTATCATAGGAAAATGGAGAAATATTACAGAGGATGAATATTATCTTTAAAAAATGTTTTCAAAATGCACCATCCCCTGCAGTAAGTGCAATTACTCGATTTTGACGCATTAGTGACAAAAATGATGTCCGACTTTTTAAAATAAAATAATTATCCTTCAGACTGTTGTTGAACACGAAATTGCCTGCCACAAACATTACATTGTTACAGGGTGTTTTACTTACAAAAACATTTCTGGTGTCCCCCGCCGTGATATTGCTGGACTATTGCTAAAAGCGGCGTAAAACCAAACTCACTCACTCTATATATGTGGCATCATTTGATATGTCACTTATGCCAAAGAATTCGCAGCGACCGGAAGGCGAGTTCGAGATAACCGGAATTCGACACATCCAAGTTCGACTGTATATGACATTGACGCCACCCTTCAACCTATACACCAGCAAGTAATACAACATTTTAAGTACAAACCTTGAGTCTCAACAGCACTTGCACATGTTTCCGATACATCAGTCACTTCTGACCTAATCCCCGCAGCTCTATCAAGGTTGTCCTTAAATGGACATAAGTGGCCGAGATAAATCGGGTAATTGCACTTTTGGAAAACAAATTGGCGAGAGATGATTCTGTTTCCATGATACAAAGGAATTTGCTGGGAAGCCAAACACTTCTGAAGTGAGTGGAGGGCTGGTGGCCATGTTTGTACAGCTCCGAGACAAACATACAAAGTCCTACGTGGTAGTGATTTCTCAAAGCTCATGGACGGACAAAAACCATTTTAGCTTTTCAAAAAAGGTTTGAGAGTTATAGGGAAGCTGAAATCGCTGTTTGTCCACAGAGGCAGTTGTGTAGCCTCCTTAAAAATCTGACAATTAGGCACCGATAGTAACAACACATCAATTAATCATACTACGGCCTAAAAGAGTATTGGCGATATAAACTAAAAAACAACAATATGATTGACTCATTTGCTGAATATATTTTCAACACAATTTCACATGGAACGCGAAGTGCCCCACCCCCACCCCCTTTCCGTTTAATTTAATTTCCAAAATGCTCATCCGCGTTTGCCTCCTTCATTCATCAATATCTTTTATTTTACGAGTATGGAAAATATTGAGACCTGCATCACTTCAAGCTTTCCTCCCACATGAGTGAGTGAGTGAGCTGGGTTTAACGCCGCTTTTAACATTATTCCAGTTATATCACGGCGTGGGAGGAAAGCCCGAAGTAATGCAGGTCTTAGACGTTTACCACTTCGGTGAAACCCACGAGCACGGGTATGGTGTTGACAAACCTAGAAACATAATCGAGGCGAACCGGGATTCGAACCCACAATCATAGGTTTCTGGCGTGTCCAGGGGACGCTACCCTGCACAGCGAATCGACTGGGCCACCCGTGCCCCCTGATTTACAAAGAAGAAGATCTATACGTACCCGTGCCCCCTTCCTCCCACATGAAGCTGACACGCCGTGATATAACTGAAATGCTGTTTAAAAGGGCGTAACGCTAATGACGACGTCTCGAAATGACAAGAAATGGGCACAGGCGTCCTATATGGGCGACGTGTGTACCATTAGGCTAGCACTGATTGAACCTCGTCTATCCAATCTCATTAAAATCATATCTTAGTTCTCGCTACCGCTAAACAAAGATCTGAGGACATCCCATTACGCGTCACGTTAGAAGGACCTTTCATCCGACCAATCAGAGCATCGCTTACCAGACTATGAAAGTGTCAGTCGGAATGTGATGCAACCTCGAAAACTTTAACTCCGAACGATAGTTACGGGTTTAACGACTGAATCCATACAATCTAGACCATCTATCAGTCATTCCAGAATATTCTTTTGTTCGGGTTTCAAATTTGTAATCGAGAATTTGTCAAAATATGTTTCGAAGCGAAGTCGCCAATTTGAAATTAGTGCCGTAAAGCACGGGGAAGCTGCCTTCTGATTGGTCATTCCATTGGTCGGTCAAAGTTCGCGCAAGTAATGGGCCGTAATGGGATGTCCTCAGATCTTTGTTTAGCGGTAGCGAGAACTGAGGTCTGATTTTAATGAGATTGTCGTCTATCCTTCATCACTTGCTTCATAAAGGTATCGCATCTGAACTGAAACGGATTGAGAGAGGATTAAGCTCTATAAAGTTTATTTAAGTTCCTAAATTTATAAGTCACTCTGTCTCCATTGATAGAGCGGTTTCTAAAATGCTTTTAATAATATTGATGTAAAATAGTTCTCAAGACGAGCAAAAGGTCAAACAGGATCAACACAGAAGTTGCGCCTTTGAAACACAACGAATGTTGGCTGAGAATTAAAGGAATCGTGTTTCCTTCGCCTAATTTGTGTCAGTGTACATTTCTTCCCTGTCGGTTACTTTGTGACGTGTTGTTATGACATGGTGCTGAGAGTGACAGCAGGACCAACATCTCTCCTTCTACAACAAGGCACAAAGTCCTGACGTCTCTTCAGAAGAGAGTCGTTGAAGATGACGTACACAACAACGTTAAGCCAACTATTGGTGTAAGTCAGGAATAGAAAAGTGTTCAGGAGGTAACCACTGTTGTCAATGACGTCATTTCCGGTATAAACATACACCCGCCATATTTGAGTCGGAAGTTGGCAGACTGTATAGAGTATAACAATTAGAAGCACCATCTTGATGACCTTGTAATTTCGTTTTCTGGCTTGTAGATTGACAAAAATTAAATTCTGCTGTTTTAGAAGCCAGAACGTCATTTTGATATATAAACAGCTAATTATAAACAGAGGAATCACAAAATGCACGAAGAAATCCAGAATTAAAACACTCAGCCTCGTGTCATTATCACTTATGCCACAAATGACAAGAAAGTCTGAAGAATTGTTTAACGTCACATTGACGTCAGTCTGGAATATGAGGTCATAGGTAAATGGTTCCCGGATGGCATAAACTGCTGCGCAGAGCCAAATGACGGTAATGACGATGTTGACGTGTTTAAACGACGGCTTGTTTGCGTACATGTGTACGATGCATCGATATCTGTCCGCTGCTATGGCAACTACACAATACAAGTTGGACGTGAGGACGAAGTAGCGCATGAATTCCATGATCTTGCACGTTGCTGACGTGTGTTTGATGGCGCCGACCTCGTGCAGGATGTCGAGGGGGATGATGAAGACACCGACCAACACATCTGTGGAAATATGAAATATGTGTCAGGCAATATACTTTCCCTCGCGCCACAACAGATACTATTTTAGAACGTTAGCATGTCCAGTGAGCAATATATGTTTTATGTAAACCCCGAGGACAAATGTTTTTTTCCATGATTTCAGGGGAATTGTCTTCAACCCCAGCGTTAGTGAGTGAGTGTGTTGGGATGCAACACCGTTTTGAACAGGATTTCAGTAACAGGTGTCTTTGGCCACACTTAAGGAAAGCACGAGTTTGTTTGTTTGTTTGTTTGTTTGTTTGACGCTGCACTCAGTGATATTCCAGCAATATGTCCGCGGTCTCTAAATAATCGAGTCTTGACCAGACAAACCAGTGATTGACAACATGAGCATCGATCCATGCAATTGGAATACGATGACCTGCATCAACCAAGTCAGCGAGCCTGACCACCCGATCCCGTGAGTCGCCTCTTACGACAAGCATAGTCACCTTTTACGGCAAGCATGGGTTGTTGAAGACCTATTCTACCCCGGATCTTTATGGGTCTCAAGCATGAGTAATCCTATAGTGATGACCAGGGGTCCTGTTCCGGGCGAACCTCGGAAGCAAGGCTGAACAGAAAATTGCGAAACCTTTGACCAGTATCCAGTAGCCCTGATATGTTCTTTTTTTCTATAAATGTTGAAACTATAAAACAGTAAAAAAGCTCAATGTCTTAGGTATGGAATAGCGTCAAGATGGTGGAGTCAACTGGATTAGGTAACTTGACATTGGTTCTCCAAAAATCCATTTTGTGACCAAAGTTACTTTGACAATATCTTGTTATTTTTCACACATGCCTCCGCTACTAAAATAGGTATTACACGGCTGCCTATTATACATAGTCACAGACAGACAACCATGGAGTGGCCACTCGTTCCCTCCCTCACCCTCACTCACTCGCTCACTCGCTTGCTCGCTCACTCACTCACTCACTCACTCACCCGCTCGACCCGTGAAGATCCGGGGTAGAACAGATCTTTAGCAACCCATGCTTGACGTAAAAGGTGACAATGCTTGTCGTAAGATGGGACTTGCGGGATCGGGTGGTCAGGCTCAATGACTTGGTTGATGCAGGTCATCGTATCCCAATTTCGTGGATCGATGCATGTGAAATTAATCACTGGATTGTCTGGTCCAGACTCGATTATTTACAGACCGCCGTGATACAGCTGGGATATTGCTGAGTGCGGCGTTAAACATCACTGACTCACTGACTCACTCACTGACTGACTCACTCACTCACTCACCTGTTATGGCCAGAAATGCTATATAGGAGTTCCTAGGTGTTCTGACTTCCTTCTTTGTGGCGAACAGGGTCAGCACGAGACCGTTGCCCAGGACGATGAGCAAGGTGAAGGCCACACTGATGACGACAATGACGGGCTTGTTAGTGTCTTTGTGGAAACTGATGAACTCGGCCCCAGAAGTGTCCTCCATCGAGCACTTCCACGCATGCCACTGTTGAGGTCAAACAAGGTCAACACCCAGGCTATTGTTCATGGACTGAAAACTATATGATGATGGAAGAATGAGGTGAGGTGAGGTGAAATGGGGTTTAACGTCGCGTCCAAGATTATTGCACTTATATAGCGACGTGCATGTACGTGTTTGTGTTTGTGTGGCTGCTTGTACTAGTCCGGACTGATGCCTATTTATAGCGCTTGCTCACTGAGATACCATACCGCAGTTTAACATGAATACCCCACTCAGACACAGTATACTGACTCCGAGCCGACCAGTCCTTGTTTTAGCCCCTTTATGCCGAGCGCCTGACAGGGTAACAACCAGTAGCATCTTTTAACATCTTTTGGTATGACGCGGACCTTCCGCTCTCCGGGCGGACGTTCTACCACTAGACCACGGAGGCGGTTTGATGGAAGAATGGTTTGTGAGTATTGTTTTAAGACACTATTAACATAGTTCCAATAACAACAAAGCCCAAACATTGTTCCAGCCAGTTCATGGCGGGGACACCAGGTGTATGCTGTATATACTGCTACCACATGTCTATATATTGTCGGAGACAGCCACAGCCTCAAGACGCACCAGTCTAAATCTCTAAATGAGGAGTAACGGTGGGGTAGACTAGTCATTAAAGCGTTTGCCGGTGACGCCGAAGACCTGGTTCGATTCCCCACATGGATACAATGTGTGAAGCACATTGCTGGTGTTCCGTGTCGTGATATTGCTGGAATATTGCTATCATACTTACTTACGGAAATGGCCCGTGAAGATCCGGGGTAGAATAGGTCTTCAGCAACCCATGCTTGTCGTAAAAGTCGATTATGCTTGTCGCAAGAGGCGACTAACCGGATCGGGTGGTCGGGCTTGCTGACTTGGTTGATGCATGTCATCGTGTCCCAAATGCGTGGATCGATGCTCATGTCAATTACTGGATTGTCTGGTCCAGACTCGATTATTTACAGACCACCGTCATACAGCTGGAATATTGCTGAGTGCGGCGTTAAACAACAAATAAACCAACTTACGGAAATGACTTTTGCACAGCAGCAGTATGCTCCCAACACATCTTAGGACCAGCACATTTTTGGAGCATAAAATCTGAGGCGATCTTAAAATGCGGTAAAATCTTATTTTTCTCTCTGTATTTTCGGAAGCGAATTAATTTTCACTGATGAGATGTATCGACGTGTGATCATACCATGAACCTCCTTTCCCTAAAGGGGCGGTCGGGTAGCCTAGTGGTTAAAGCGCTCGCTCGTCACGCCGGAGACCCGGGTTCGATTCCCCACAAGGGTACAATGTGTGAAGCCCATTTCTGGTGTCCCCTGCCGTGATATTGCTGGAATATTGCTAAAAGCGGCGTAAAATCATACTCACTCACTCATCCTTCCCCAAACAGATGTGTCCGATTGCTTGAGAGACATTTCTTAGAATTTGACGGATGACAAAGTAGACAAAAAGTCACGGATGACAACTTTTTCTTATACTGTAATATAGCGGCGTTTCGGAAAGATCCTTATACCATTGTCAAGCAAGGCTGAATAATGAACATGGTACAGAATATGTATGGTGGCTGATGGATTAACAGTAACAACTATTATAGACAGACAGACAGACAAATTTATTCGGGACTTCAGGCCACCGGCCCATAATACAATGGAAATATACTGTATATATATTTGCTTGCTGAGTAGATTTAATAATGATTTACCGTTCAACACTGTGTTTCCGTTCGAATGTTCATGACTTGGAAGATAAATCTACCTAAGCTTTTAATAATTTGTTCGTTTTCAGCTGACATAAGTCTTATAAAATTCTCAATAGAGGGAGGGGTAACGAGACGCTTGGGAAAAGAGTTTCTTCTTGCTCTAGAATACTGGTCACAAATCATAAGAACATGGAATTCATCTTCAACCTGGTTATGTCCCTTCGAAAAACGGCAACACAACTGTTATATTACAGTATGATAAAGAAGTTATCCCTAATTTGTTTGTCCATTTTGTCATCGTCAATTTCTGAGAAATGCCTATCAAACAATTTATACACTCCTAGATATATTCAACAACTTCGTGTATTCATTACATGATAACTACCCTCCGGCTTTCCGACAAGCGTTAACTGTCGAACGTACATACCTGAAGTAAAGATGTGTATAGTATCCAGAAGGACGACCCCGAGAGACAGATGTCACTTTGTTCAGAGCCTGTGTGTCACCTGGACATTACTATCGCTGGTAATCACCCCGTCAGCCTCCTTGTGGATGCACGGCCGCCGTCAGTACGCCACCACCCAGTGGAGGTTAAACTGACACTTTAACCCTTCGTGAATCAATGATTATAAGGTGAGGTGAGTGAAATGGGGTTTAACGTCGCGTCAAGCATTATTGCACTTAAAGAGCGACGTGCGTGCACGTGTGTGTGCGTGCGTGTGTGGCTGCTTGTACTGGTCCGGTTTAATGCCGATTTTATAGTGCTAGCTCAGGGAGATAACATGCCGCATTTTAACATGAATACCCCACTCAGACACAGTATACTGACTCCGAGCCGACCAGTCCTTGTTTAAGCCCCTCAATGCCGAGCGCGAGGCAGGGTAACAACAAGTGCCATCTTTTAACGTCCTTTGGTATGACGCGGCTGGGGATCGAACCCAAGACCTTCCGCTCTCCGGGCGAACGCTCTACCACTAGACCACGGAGGCGGTCCATTTATTATTAAACACGTGCATACAATCAGGACCTTTTTTATTACCTGGGTAATTGTTTCTTCTTTCCCAAAACGTTAAAATAATGTATATATTACATAAAAATCAGAAGGAAAAATCCCAAAATATGTTAAAATTTAATAAAGTTAGTTAAAACGTTTGATTAATTGTTAAAATAGGACAATAGCCATCTAAGGTTGATGCACTGGGCTCATCAGAATATCATGAAAGTAATCTTAAATTGGCTCTATATTCAGTATAGTGAAGGAATGGGTGCCACCGTTAATCGGTGGGTGAGTGAGTGAGTGAGTGAGTGAGTGAGTGAGTATTTTGACGCCGCTCTTAGGTGGACGTGTTGACCTAGTGGTTCGCTCGTCACGTCGAAAGCCCGGGTTCGATTCCCAACAAGCACACAATGTGTGAAGCCATTTCGGTTGTTCTCCCGCAACAAGGCGTCGGCAACCTTGGTATTAAACTCGGGAATTCCTCTTGACGAACCAACGCTGTATCCATTGGGCTACCCCACCGCCCCAGACATTGCAAGTAGCCAATTAAAAAGTAAATAACACAGAAGCGCATGCACATTTTTTAAAAAGCAACTTTAGAAGCGGTTTGAGATGAGAAACAGGTACTGTTATTCATGAGGTCTTATTACCGAGAATACATTTGAAGAGTTCTTTTCTAGTGGGTCCAGATGTGGTTGCCTGTCGCGATTGTGTATCCCATCAAGTGTTAACTTTGTCTAGCTTAACGTGACAGGAATTATATTGATCTGCCAGACGACCATATCGGGCGCGTCCCTTTCCCGACAAAACACTGTCCTGCGTCACATCACAGAGGGTTATACAAAGTAAATATACCTTTTTACGTGGTCATTTTTAAGCCTAGATGGATCTGAAATGGATAATGCGAAGCTATTTTATTTATAAAATGTTTATTGATTTTCAGCAAAACTATAGGGTTTGGCCAGTAGGCAAAGCAACGGTACCTCGCTGTACAGAGTTGCGTCCCTTAGATGACACGATTCGCTGGTCGTGGTTCGAATTCAATTCATCCCGATTATGATATTTTCTCTGTCAGTGTTCGTGGTAAACGTCTGAATCCTGGGGGCTTCACACACAAAGCTTTAAGCGAATCTGTGCAAAACGGCTTAATCTCACTGTAGATCTATGTCGTAAACGAAACGATCGCTATAAAGCTACCACACGTTGTGACAGTGACATTCAACGGAGGTAAAGTTGTGACTAAGGATGATCCAACGTTTCCTTGTGCACTGGGGCTCCACGTATAACATTAGCCAAATCTTAGAATATTTTGTTGCACCGCCACGCCACAAAACGAATGACGTCATAAGACATATGACGTCATAGTACACAATCCAAGACGGGAATTGTGGGAGTTGGTTGCCGTGAAACTGGTCAGTCTTGGAGGTCATTCAAGTGGACACACGTCTATCTGTGGAGAGCTCACGGTCCCATCTTAAATTTACTGCAATTGATAAATTCCCTTCGCTCCATCAGCTGAACAAGGTAAGCAGAGTCTTACTGTTAGAATGTGGGCATAATTATCACGAAAGGAATATTTTTTTTTTAATATAAAAGCCTTCGGAAATCTTAACAAAATGTTTCCTCGTGATTAATTACACTTCAATCGAAAATTAAACCTGTAAATAGTTGAACAGTAAATTATTATGCGAGAAAGAAACATGTGTCGTGCATTGGGTATTTCTTATTCAGCCCAATAACAGTTTTAAAACGACTTTCCGTGTGAGTTTGACAGAAGTAATTGTCTTAGCGTCACAATAGTATGACGTCACAGTATCACGTGTCATGAGCTGCTATCAGGCCTGCATGAACCCGATGACATTTCTATCACCCATTAGTTTTATGGATACCTTTATTTGTGTTTTGTGTGAATGATTAATAATGGATTTTAAAACTTGTTTGGTATCTTATAAGCCAAGCAGGACATCCTTTTTCATAAAATATTCCCCCTATTCTCCCAATCGCCAGTCCAGGGCTCAGTTAATGTAAATTAATTAAATAATGGTGCCACACATTCTATTTATTATTGTAAGATATCACAAAATGTAGGATTGATGTCGGGATATCGATTATAAGGTATCATTAACAAATTATTAATATCACTTAATAGAATGAGTGATGAAGAAAAAAACATTTCGATACATTTATCAATATTTTTTTTATCGATATCTAAAAATCGAATTTGTGATATCAATAATCAATTTATTATATCATAAAATCGAATATGTGAAATCCATAAATACATTATTTATATAGTTGAAACAGAGAATAAACAGTAAACCGTTTCCTGGTACATTAATGCATATCATATGACATTATTATAAACATGTCCGGCCCGTGCATGTCATCAATGTGTATATTCTCCTTAATTACAGCATGGCGGACATATTGACAATGATTGACATCGTCTACCCAAAGCTCCGTATGTTCACGGACGGAGCAAGAACAGCCGCACTCATCATGTACAGATTGAAATATGGCAAGAAACAGCCACAACACGACTATATGGTGGATCCAGAGGAAGATAACTCTCACTGGGGTCCAGGGGGAGATGACTCTTGGCAAACTTGGGGACCAGGGGAAGATAACCTTCACTGGGGACAATGGGAAGACATTTTGGAAGACGAGAGGGACACAAGGTTCGATAACTCGTACACCTCCAAGCCACAGTCGAACTGGTATTCTAACTTGGATGCGGAATCTGAGACAAACGTGAAGATTCCAGATGACGCAATCATTCCCATCGGATATGAAGGTGAGCTCTCTTAATGACTTGTTTCATATATGACTGGTAAACAATATAAATAAACAGTACCTTGTTAAAATATATACATAATTAATTTGGCACGACGTTTTAAAGTAATGATGGCAGGAAAGTAATTTGATGCGCCAACGTTGTGAAGCAGATCCTGATTTTGAACACCTCTGTTGAGTATTTAATATATTTTTGTTTAAACATTTTGTTCGCTGACGTAAAACGCTTACACCCACCCACCTACCCGTGTTTTAGTATGTGACAGGAAACAAATGCACACTTCTTCCTGGCTTATGTTTCCGTGGAACCAGCATCAGTGATCTAACATAGAATCACCGAGGTTCATTTGTTCACATGTTGTTCCAGTAATGGCGGGTGATGTGAGAACCGCCAGGAGAAAATCAGGGAAGAAATCTCTTCGATCACGAATCGTATCGGTAAGTCATACTTACTCTGAGCGTACACCATTAACGAATATATGGTACAGGAGAGCGCGAATAACGTCACTCCCATGTTGTAGTTACTTTCTAAGTACTGCTCCTGTTGCTTGAGAATCAGAATTGTCGGTTTAGGATTTCGTGGAGTTGCTTTAGGCTATGGTTGTGTTAACTTTTCAATGCAGCATTAAGGTTATAAAGCATTGGAACAATAACGAACAAGTATGTCGTCAGTGTGTGTAACATGCCCGTGTCACTCTCTGTGAACATTGTATAATATGTGTGTCATACTTTATATTTCCAGGTGATGCGGCGGCTGTCATTCTGTATACCAAGAAAAACAACTCTATAAATAATCTCACAAAGCTCCGTTGGATAAATCCTAATATATTTGTGAACAGAAACAGTATTACCTTATATTTGATTGAGTAACGAGAATTGTATTTTGTGTATGGTCATAAAAATAGTTGTCTCTGTTAATGTAGAAGGTCCATCTCACCTAAACAAGTGTATATAAACTGCCTGTTGAAGATAATAATGTTCTATTCAATTGTTACTGACAATCAATCAACAATGTACATATTTCTATTTATTTGTATTATTGTAAATAAACAAAACAAAATTCTTTTGAGCCATACAGTCTTCTGGATTTATTTTTTCTAGTTGTTTCATCTAATTGAATCTCGAGTATCTAGAGCATTATACATCAAGTTTAATATGATCCATTCGCTGACATCGGAACCGATCCAAATAGTACGACGCTAGCCATGGAATCAAATTACTGTCACGAGCTGTAGAGATGGATAAAGATGTGAAATCGTAGCCATGTACTGCTCCACTTTTACCCTCTGTGCCAACACATAGCTACGGTTCACGTATTCTTACTTGCTTACCAGCTTCGTCAAGGTTGGTGCAGACAAACCAAGGGTAATAATCGGGGCGAAGGGCGCAACTCTGTCGTTTTACAGAAAGACAGTAAAAGCTGATCATAAAAGTCGGACAGTAACAGCTGAGCATAAAAGTCGGACAGTAACAGCTGAGCATTAAAGTCGGATAGTAATAGCTGAGAATTAAAGTCGGACAGTAAAAGCTGAGAATTAAAGTCGTATAGTAGAGGCTGAGCATTGAAGTCGGATAGTAAAAGCTGAAAATTTAAGTCGTATAGTTAAAGCTGAGCATTAAAGTCGGATAGTAAAAGCTGAGCATTAAAGTCGGATAGTAAAAGCTGAGCATTGAAGTCGGACAGTAACAGCTGAGCATTACAGTCGGACAGTAACAACTGAAAATTGAATAGCTACAATTTTGCAGCTGAGATGGATAAAGCAAGAGACAGAAGTGATGAAGCTACCAAATCAAATCTATGTGTCCAGGGTATTTCCCAACAAGCACACAATATGTGAAGCCATTTCGGTTGTTCTCCCGCAACAAGGCGTCGGCAACCTTGGTATTAAACTCGGGAATTCTTCTTGACGAACCAACGCTGTATCCATTGGGCTACCCCACCGCCCCAGACATTGGAAGTAGCCAATTAAAAAGTAAATAACACAGAAGCGCATGCACATTTTTTAAAAAGCAACTTTAGAAGCGGTTTGAGATGAGAAACACGTACTGTTTTTCATGAGGTCTTATTACCGAGAATACATTCGAAGAGTTCTTTTCTAGTAGGTCCAGATGTGGTTGCCTGTCGCGATTGTGTATCCCATCAAGTGTTAACTTTGTCTAGCTTAACGTGACAGGAATTATATTGATCTGCCAGACGACCATATCGGGCGCGTCCCTTTCCCGACAAAATACTGTCCTGCGTCACATCACAGAGTGTTATACTAATTAAACATACCTTTTTACGTGATCATTTTTAAGCCTATATGGCTCTGAAATGGATAATGCGAAGCTATTTTATTTATAAAATGTTTATTGATTTTCAGCAAAATGATAGGGTTTGGCCAGTAGGCAAAGCAACGGTACCTCGCTGTACAGAGTTGCGTCCCTTAGATGACACGATTCGCTGGTCGTGGTTCGAATTCAATTCATCCCGATTATGATATTTTCTCTATCAGTGTTCGTGGGTTCACCAAAGTGGTAAACGTCTGAATCCTGGGGGCTTCACACACAAAGCTTTAAGCGAATCTGTGCAAAACAGCTTAAACTCACTGTAGATCTATGTCGTAAACGAAACGATCGCTATAAAGCTACCACACGTAGTAACAGTGACATTCCACGGAGGTCAAGCTGTGACCAAGGATGATCCGACGTTTCCTTGTGCACTGGAGCTCCACGTATAACATTAGCCAAATCTTAGAATATTTTGTTGCACCGCCACGCCACAAAACGAATGACGTCATAAGACATATGACGTCATAGTACACAATCCAAGACGGGAATTGTGGGAGTTGGTTGCCATGAAACTGGTCAGTCTTGGAGGTCATTCAAGTGGACACACGTCGATCTGTGGAGAGCTCACGGTCCCATCTTAAATTTACTGCAATTGATAAATTCCCTTCGCTCCATCAGCTGAACAAGGTAAGCAGCGTCTTACTGTTAGAATGTGGACATAATTATCACGAAAGCAATATATTTTTTTAAATATAAAAGCCTTTGGAAATCTTAACAAAATGTTTCCTCGTGATTAATTACACTTCAATCGAAAATTACAGCTGTAAATAGTAAACAGTAAATTGATATGCAAGAAAGAAACATGTGTCGTGCATTGTGTATGTCTTATTCAGCCCAATAACAGTTTTACAGGACTTTCCGTGTGAGTTTGTTGACAGAAGTAATTGTCTTAGCGTCACAATAGTATGACGTCACAGTATCACTCGTCATGAGCTGCTATCAGGCCTGCATGAACCCGATGACATTTCTATCACCCATTAGTTTTATGGATACCTTTATTTGTGTTTTGTGTGAATGATTAATAATGGATTTTAAAACTTGTTTGGCATTTTATAAGCCAGGCAGGACATACTTTTTCATAAAATATTCCCCCTACTCTCCTAATCGCCAGTCAAGGGCTCAGTTAATGTAAATTAATTGATTAATGGTGCCACACATTCTATTTATTATTGTAAGATATCACAAAATGAAGAATTGATGTCGCGATATCGATTATAAGATATTGTAAATGAATTATTAATATAACTAAATAGAATGAGGGATGATGATAAAACTTATTTCGATACATTTATCAATATCTTAAATTCTTTTATTGATATCTAAAAATCGAATTTGTGATATCAATAATCAATTTATTATATCAAAAAATCGAATGTGTAAAATCAATAGATACATCATTAATATAGTTGAAACAGAGTAAAACAGTAAACCGTTTCCTGGTACATAAGTACATATCATATGACATTATTATAAACATGTCCGTCCCTTGCATGTCATCAATATGTATATTCTCCTTGATTACAGCATGGCGGACATATTGACAATGATTGACATCATCTACCCCAAGCTCCGTATGTTCACGGACGGAGCAAGAACAGCCGCCCTCATCATGTACAGATTGAAATATGGCAAGAAACAGCCACAACACGACTATAGGGTAGATCCAGAGGAAGATAACTCTCATTGGGGTCCAGGGGGAGATGACTCTTGGCAAACTTGGGGATCAGGGGAAGATAACTTTCACTGGGGACAATGGGAAGACATTTTGGAAGACGAGAGGGACACAAGGTTCGATAACTCGTACACCTCCAAGCCACAGACGAACTGGTATTCTAACTTGGATGCGGAATCTGAGACAAACGTGAAGATTCCAGATGACGCAATCATTCCCATCGGATATGAAGGTGAGCTCTCTTAATGTCTTGTTTCATATATGACTGGTAAACAATATAAATAAACAGTACCATGTTAAAATATATACATAATGAATTTTGCACGACGTTTTACAGTAATGATGGCAGGAAAGTAATTTGATGCGCCAACGTTGTGAAGCAGATCCTGATTTTGAACAGCTCTGTTGAGTATTTAATATATTTTATGTTTAAACATTTTGTTCGCTGACGTAAAACGCTTACACCCACCCACCTACCCGTGTTTTAGTATGTGACAGGAAATAAATGCACAATTCTTCCTGGCTTATGCTTCCATGGAACCAGCATCAGTGATCTAACATAGAATCACCGAGGTTAATTTGTTCACATGTTGTTCCAGTAATGGCGGGTGATGTGAGAACCGCCAGGAGAAAATCAGGGAAGAAATCTCTTCGGTCACGAATCGTATCGGTAAGTCCACAAACTTACTCTGAGCGTACACCATTAACGAATATATGGTACAGGAGAGCGCGAATAACGTCACTCCCATGTTGTAGTTACTTATTAAGTACTGCTGCTGTTGCTTGAGAATCAGAATTGTCGGTTTAGGATTTCGTGGAGTTGCTTTAGCCATGGTTGTGTTAACTTTTCAATGCAGCATTAAGGTTATAAAGCATTGGAACAATAACGAACAAGCATGTCGTCAGTGTGTGTAACATGCCCCTGTCACTCTCTGTGAACATTGTACAATATGTGTGTCATACTTTATATTTCCAGGTTATGCGGCGGCTGTCATTCTGTATACCAAGAAAAACAACTCTATAAATAATCTCACAAAGCTCCGTTGGATAAATCATCATATTATATTTGTGAACAGAAACAGTATTACCCTTATATTTGATTGTGTAACGAGAATTGTATTTTGTGTATGGTCATAAAAATAGTTGTCTCTGTTAATGTAGAAGTTCCATCTCACTTAAACAAGTGTATATAAACTGCCTGTCAAAGATAATAATGTTCTATTCAATTGTTACTGACAATCAATCAACAATGTACATATTTCCAATTATTTTATTATTGTAAATAAACAATTTTTTTCTGTTGAGCCATGCAGTGTTCTGCATTTATTTTTTCTAGTTGTTTCATGTCTAATTGAATCTCGAGTATCTAGGGTTTTATACATCAATTTTGATATACTTCATTCGCTGACATCGGAACCGATCCGAATAGTACGACGCTAGCCATGGAATCAAATTACTGTCACGAGCTGTAGAGATGGATCAAACTGTAAAATCGTAGACACGTACTGCTCACTTTTACCCTCTGTGCCAATACATAGCTACGGTTCACGTCTTCTAACTTGCTACCAGCTCCGTCAGGGTTGGTGCAGACAAACCAAGGGTAATAATCGGGGCGAAGGGCGCAAGTCTGTCGTTTTACAGAACGACAATAAAAGCTGATCATAAATGTTGGACAGTAACAGCTGAGCATTGAAGTCGGACAGTAACAGCTGAGCATTACAGTCGGACAGTAACAACTGAAAATTGAATAGCTACAATTTCGCAGCTGAGATGGATAAAGCAAGAGACAAAGTGATGAAGCTACCAAATCAAATCTATGTGTCCAGGGTATTTCCCAACAAGCACACAATATGTGAAGCCAATTTCGGTTGTTCTCCCGCAACAAGGCGTCGGCAACCTTGGTATTAAACTCGGGAATTCCTCTTGACGAACCAACGCTGTATCCATTGGGCTACCCCACCGCCCCAGACATTGCAAGTAGCCAATTAAAAAGTAAATAACACAGAAGCGCATGCACATTTTTTAAAAAGCAACTTTAGAAACGGTTTGAGATGAGAAACACGTACTGTTTTTCATGAGGTCTTATTACCGAGAATACATTCGAAGAGTTCTTTTCTTATAAGTCCAGATGTGGTTGCCTGTCGCGATTGTGTATCCCATCAAGTGTTAACTTTGTCTAGCTTAACGTGACAGGAATTATTTTGATCTGCCAGACGACCATATCGGGCGCGTCCCTTTTCCGACAAAATACTGTCCTGCGTCACATCACAGAGGGTTATACAAATTAAACATACCTTTTTACGTGGTCATTTTTAAGCCTATATGGATCTCAAATCGATAATGCGAGGGTATTTTATTTATAAAATGTTTATTGATTTTCAGCAAAATGATAGGGTTTGGCCAGAAGGCAAAGCCGGCGTACCTCGCTGTACAGAGTTGTGTCCCTTAGATGACACGATTCGCTGGTCGTGGTTCGAATTCGATTCACCCCGACTATGATATTTTCTCTGTCAGTGTTCGTGGGTTCACCAAAGTGGTAAACGTCTGAATCCTGGGGGCTTCACACACAAAGCTTTAAGCGAATCTGTGCAAAACGGCTTAACCTCACTGTAGCTCTATGTCGTAAACGAAACGATCGCTATAATCTTAGATAGCCAAATCTTAGAATATTTTGATGCGCCGCCATGTCACAAACAAATGACGTCATAAGACATATGACGTCATAGTACACAATCCAAGACGGGAATTGTGGGAGTTGGTTGCCGTGAAACTGGTCAATCTTGGAGGTCATTCAAGTGGACACACGTCGATCTGTGGAGAGCTCACGGTCCCGTCTTAAATTTACTGCAATTGATAAATTCCCTTCGCTCCATCAGCTGAACAAGGTAAGCAGTGTCTTACTGTTAGAATGTGGACATAATTATCACGAAAGCAATATATTATTTTAAATATAAAAGCAAACTGTTTCCTCGTGATTAATTACACTTCAATCGAAAGTTACAGCTGTCAATAGTTGAACAGTAAATTGATATGCAAGAAAGAAACATGTGTCGTGCATTGGGTATTTCTTATTCAGCCCAATAACAGTTTTAAAACGACTTTCCGTGTGAGTTTGTTGACAGAAGTAATTGTCTTAGGGTCACAATAGTATGACGTCACAGTATCACGTCACATGAGCTGCTATCAGGCCTGCATGAACCCGATGACATTTCTATCACCCATTAGTTTTATGGATACCTTTATTTGTGTTTTGTGTGAATGATTAATAATGAATTTTAAAACTTGTTTGGTATCTTATAAGCCAAGCAGGACATCCTTTTTCATAAAATATTCCCCCTATTCTCCCAATCGCCAGTCCAGGGCTCAGTTAATGTAAATTAATTAATTAATGGTGCCACAAATTCTATTTATTATTGTAAGATATATTGTAGAATTGATGTCGCGATATCGATTATAAGATATCATTAACAAATTATTAATATCACTTAATAGTATGAGTGATGAAGAAAAAAACATTTCGATACATTTATAAATATCTTCATTTTTTTTTATCGACATCTAAAAATCGAATTTGTGATATCGATAATCAATTTATTATATCATAAAATCGAATATGTGAAATCCATAAATACATTATTAATATAGTTGAAACAGAGAATAACCAGTAAACCGTTTCCTGGTACATTAGTGCATATCATATGACATTATTATAAACATGTCCGGCCCTTGCATGTCATCAATAATTTTATGTATATTCTCCTTGATTACAGCATGGCGGACATATTGACAATGATTGACATCATCTACCCCAAGCTCCGTATGTTCACGGACGGAGCAAGAACAGCCGCACTCATCATGTACAGATTGAAATATGGCAAGAAACAGCCACAACACGACTATATGGTGGATCCAGAGGAAGATAACTCTCATTGGGGTCCAGGGGGAGATGACTCTTGGCAAACTTGGGGACCAGGGGAAGATAACTTTCACTGGGGACAATGGGAAGACATTTTGGAAGACGAGAGGGACACAAGGTTCGATAACTCGTACACCTCCAAGCCACAGACGAACTGGTATTCTAACTTGGATGCGGAATCTGAGACAAACGTGAAGATTCCAGATGACGCAATCATTCCCATCGGATATGAAGGTGAGCTCTCTTAATGTCTTGTTTCATATATGACTGGTAAACAATATAAATAAACAGTACCATGTTAAAATATATACATAATTAATTTTGCACGACGTTTTAAAGTAATGATGGCAGGAAAGTAATTTGATGCGCCAACGTTGTGAAGCAGATCCTGATTTTGAACAGCTCTGTTGAGTATTTAATATATTTTTTGTTTAAACATTTTGTTCGCGTAAAACGCTTACACCCACCCACCTACCCGTTTTTTAGTATGTGACAGGAAACAAATGCACAATTCTTCCTGGCTTATGTTGCCATGGAACCAGCATCAGTGATCTAACATAGAATCACCGAGGTTCATTTGTTCACATGTTGTTCCAGTAATGGCGGGTGATGTGAGAACCGCCAGGAGAAAATCAGGGAAGAAATCTCTTCGATCACGAATCGTATCGGTAAGTCTTACTTACTCTGAGCGTACACCATTAACGAATAGATGGTACAGGAGAGCGCGAATAACGTCACTCCCATGTTGTAGTTACTTTCTAAGTACTGCTGCTGTTGCTTGAGAATCAGAATTGTCGGTTTAGGATTTCGTGGAGTTGCTTTAGGCTATGGTTGTGTTAACTTTTCAATGCAGCATTAAGGTTATAAAGCATTGGAACAATAACGAACAAGCATGTCGTCAGTGTGTGTAACATGCCCGTGTCACTCTCTGTGAACATTGTATAATATGTGTGTCATACTTTATATTTCCAGGTGATGCGGCGGCTGTCATTCTGTATACCAAGAAAAACAACTCTATAAATAATCTCACAAAGCTCCGTTGGATAAATCCTAATATATTTGTGAACAGAAACAGTATTACCTTATATTTGATTGTGTAACGAGAATTGTATTTTGTGTATGGTCATAAAAATAGTTGTCTCTGTTAATGTAGAAGTTCCATCTCACCTAAACAAGTGTATATAAACTGCCTGTTGAAGATAATAATGTTCTATTCAATTGTTACTGACAATCAATCAACAATGTACATATTTCTATTTATTTGTATTATTGTAAATAAACAAAACAAAATTCTGTTGAGCCATACAGTCTTCTGGATTTATTTTTTCTAGTTGTTTCATCTAATTGAATCTCGAGTATCTAGAGTATTTTACATCAAGTTTAATATGATCCATTCGCTGACATCGGAACCGATCCAAATAGTACGACGCTAGCCATGGAATCAAATTACTGTCACGAGCTGTAGAGATGGATAAAGATGTGAAATCGTAGCCATGAACTGCTCCACTTTTAGCCTCTGTGCCAACACATAGCTACGGTTCACGTATTCTTACTTGCTACCAGCTTCGTCAAGGTTGGTGCAGACAAACCAAGGGTAATAATCGGGGCGAAGGGCGCAACTCTGTCGTTTTACAGAAAGACAGTAAAAGCTGATCATAAAAGTCGGACAGTAACAGCTGAGCATAAAAGTCGGACAGTAACAGCTGAGCATTAAAGTCGGATAGTAATAGCTGAGAATTAAAGTCGGACAGTAAAAGCTGAGAATTAAAGTCGTATAGTAGAGGCTGAGCATTAAAGTCGGATAGTAAAAGCTGAGCATTGAAGTCGGACAGTAACAGCTGAGCATTACAGTCGGACAGTAACAGCTGAGCATTGAAGTCGGACAGTAACAGCTGAGCATTACAGTCGGACAGTAACAACTGAAAATTGAATAGCTACAATTTTGCAGCTGAGATGGATAAAGCAAGAGACAGAAGTGATGAAGCTACCAAATCAAATCTATGTGTCCAGGGTATTTCCCAACAAGCACACAATATGTGAAGCCAATTTCGGTTGTTCTCCCGCAACAAGGCGTCGGCAACCTTGGTATTAAACTCGGGAATTCTTCTTGACGAACCAACGCTGTATCCATTGGGCTACCCCACCGCCCCAGACATTGGAAGTAGCCAATTAAAAAGTAAATAACACAGAAGCTCATGCACATTTTTTAAAAAGCAACTTTAGAAACGGTTTGAGATGAATAACACGTACTGGTTTTCATGAGGTCCTATTACCGAGAATAAATTCGGAGAGTTCTTTTCTAGTAGGTCCAGATGTGGTTGCCCGTCGCGACCGTGCATCCCATCAAGTGTTAACTTTGTCTAGCTTAACGTGACAGGAATTATATTGATCTGCCAGACGACCATATCGGGCGCGTCCCCTTCCCGACAAAACACTGTCCTGCGTCACATCACAGAGGGTTATACAAATCAAACATACCTCTTTACGTGGTCATTTTTAAGCCTATATGGCTCCGAAATCGATAATGCGAAGCTATTTTATTTATAAAATGTTTATTGATTTTCAGCAAAATGATAGGGTTTGGCCAGTAGGCAAAGCAACGGTACCTCGCTGTACAGAGTTGCGTCCCTTAGATGACACGATTCGCTGGTCGTGGTTCGAATTCAATTCATCCCGATTATGATATTTTCTCTGTCAGTGTTCGTGGGTTCACCAAAGTGGTAAACGTCTGAATCCTGGGGGCTTCACACACAAAGCTTTAAGCGAATCTGTGCAAAACGGCTTAAACTCAATGTAGACCTATGTCGTAAGCGAAACGATCGCTATAAAGCTACCACTCGTAGTAACAGTGACATTCCACGGAGGTAAAGCTGTGACTAAGGATGATCCAACGTTTCCTGATGCACTGGGGCTCCACGTATAACATTAGCCAAATCTTAGAATATTTTGTTGCACCGCCACGCCACAAACCGAATGACGTCATAAGACATATGACGTCATAGTACACAATCCAAGACGGGAATTGTGGGAGTTGGTTGCCATGAAACTGGTCAGTCTTGGAGGTCATTCAAGTGGACACACGTCGATCTGTGGAGTGCTCACGGTCCCATCTTAAATTTACTGCAGTTGATAAATCCCCTTCGCTCCATCAGCTGAACAAGGTAAGCGGTGTCTTACTGTTAGAATGTGGACATAATTATCACGAAAGTAATATATTTTATTAATTATAAAAGCCTTCGGAAATCTTAACAAAATGTTTCCTCGTGATTAATTACACTTCAATCGAAAATTACAGCTGTAAATAGTTGAAGAGTCAATTATTATGCGAGAAAGAAACATGTGTCGTGCATTGGGTATTTCTTATTCAGCCCAATAACAGTTTTAAAACGACTTTCCGTGTGAGTTTGACAGAAGTAATTGTCTTAGCGTCACAATAGTATGACGTCACAGTATCACGTGTCATGAGCTGCTATCAGGCCTTCATGAACCCGATGACTTTTCTATCACCCATTAGTTTTATGGATACCTTTATTTGTGTTTTGTGTGAATGATTAATAATGAATTTTAAAACTTGTTTGGTATCTTATAAGCCAAGCAGGACATCCGTTTTCATAGAATATTCCCCCTACTCTCCCAATCGCCAGTAAAGGGCTCAGTTAATGTAACTTAATTAATTAATGGTGCCACACATTCTATTTATTATTGTAAGATATCACAAAATGAATAATTGATGTCGGGATATCGATTATAAGATATCATTAACAAATTATTAATATCACTTAATAGAATGAGTGATGAAGAAAAAAACATTTCGATATATTTATAAATATCTTAAATTTTTTTTATCGATATCTAAAAGTCGAATTTGTGATATCGATAATCAATTTATTATATCATAAAATCCAATATGTGAAATCCATAAATACATTATTAATATAGTTGAAACAGAGAATAACCAGTAAACCGTGTCCTGGTACATTAGTGCATATCATATGACATTATTATAAACATGTCCGGCCCTTGCATGTCATCAATAATTTTATGTATATTCTCCTTGATTACAGCATGGCGGACATATTGACAATGATTGACATCATCTACCCAAAGCTCCGTATGTTCACGGACGGAGCAAGAACAGCCGCACTCATCATGTACAGATTGAAATATGGCAAGAAACAGCCACAACACGACTATATGGTGGATCCAGAGGAAGATAACTCTCATTGGGGTCCAGGGGGAGATGACTCTTGGCAAACTTGGGGACCAGGGGAAGATAACCTTCACTGGGGACAATGGGAAGACATTTTGGAAGACGAGAGGGACACAAGGTTCGATAACTCGTACACCTCCAAGCCACAGACGAACTGGTATTCTAACTTGGATGCGGAATCTGAGACAAACGTGAAGATTCCAGATGACGCAATCATTCCCATCGGATATGAAGGTGAGCTCTCTTAATGTCTTGTTTCATATATGACTGGTAAACAATATAAATAAACAATACCATGTTAAAATATATACATAATGAATTTTGCACGACGTTTTACAGTAATGATGGCAGGAAAGTAATTTGATGCGCCAACGTTGTGAAGCAGATCCTGATTTTGAACACCTCTGTTGAGTATTTAATATATTTTTGTTTAAACATTTTGTTCGCTGACGTAAAACGCCTACACCCACCCACCTACCCGTGTTTTAGTATGTGACAGGAAACAAATGCACACTTCTTCCTGGCTTATGTTTCCGTGGAACCAGCATCAGTGATCTAACATAGAATCACCGAGGTTCATTTGTTCACATGTTGTTCCAGTAATGGCGGGTGATGTGAGAACCGCCAGGAGAAAATCAGGGAAGAAATCTCTTCGGTCACGAATCGTATCGGTAAGTCCACAAACTTACTCTGAGCGTACACCATTAACGAATATATGGTACAGGAGAGCGCGAATAACGTCACTCCCATGTTGTAGTTACTTATTAAGTACTGCTGCTGTTGCTTGAGAATCAGAATTGTCGGTTTAGGATTTCGAGGAGTTGCTTTAGCCATGGTTGTGTTAACTTTTCAATGCAGCATTAAGGTTATAAAGCATTGGAACAATAACGAACAAGTATGTCGTCAGTCTGTGTAACATGCCCGTGTCACTCTCTGTGAACATTGTATAATATGTGTGTCATACTTTATATTTCCAGGTGATGCGGCGGCTGTCATTCTGTATACCAAGAAAAACAACTCTTTAAATAATCTCACAAAGCTCCGTTGGATAAATCCTAATATTATATTTGTGAACAGAAACAGTATTACCTTATATTTGATTGTGTAACGAGAATTGTATTTTTTGTATGGTCATAAAAATAGTTGTCTCTGTTAATGTAGAAGTTCCATCCCAACTGCCTGTTGAAGATAATAATGTTCTATTCAATTGTTACTGACAATCAATCAACAATGTACATATTTCTATATATTTGTATTATTGTAAATAAACAAAAAAAAATCTTTTGGGCCATACAGTGTTCAGGATTTTTTTTTCTAGTTATGTCATGTCTAATTGAATCTCGAGTATCTAGGGTATTATACATCAATTTTAATATGATCCATTCGCTAACATCGGAACCGATCCAAATAGTACGACGCTAGCCATGGAATCAAATTACTGTCACGAGCTGTAAAGATGGATCAAACTGTAAAATCGTAGACACGTACTGCTCCACTTTTACCCTCTGTGCCAATACATGGCTACAGTTCGCGTCTTCCAACTTGCTACCAGCTCCGTCAGGGTTGGTGCAGACAAACCAAGGGTAATAATCGGGGCGAAGGGCGCTACTCTGTCGTTTTACAGAACGACAGTAAAAGCTGAGCATAGAAGTCGGACAGCAACAGCTGAGAATTGAAGTCGGATAGTAAAAGCTGAGCATTGGAGTCGGAAGTAAAAGCTGAACATTGAAGTCGGATAGTAAAAGCTGAGCATTGAAGTCGGATAGTAAAAGCTGAGCATTGACGTCGGACAGTAAAAGCTGAGCATTGAATTAGGACAGTAACAGCTGAGCATTGAAGTCGGACAGTAAAAGCTGAGCATTGAAGTCGGTCAGTAAAAGCTGAGCATTGAAGTCGGATAGTAAAAGCTGAGCATTGAAGTCGGATAGTAAAAGCTGAGCATAGAAGTCGGACAGTAACAGCTGAGCATTGACGTCGGACAGTAACAGCTGAGCATTGAAGTAGGACAGTAACAGCTGAGCACTGAAGTAGGACAGTAAAAGCTGAGCATTGAAGTAGGACAGTAACAGCTGAGCATTGAAGTAGGACAGTAACAACTGAGCATTGACGTCGGACAGTAAAAGCTGAGCATTGACGTCAGATAATAAAAGCTGAGCATAAAAGTCGGACGGTAACAGCTGAGCATTGTGGTAGGACAGTAACAGCTGAGCATTGTGGTAGGATAGTAAAAGCTGAGCATTGAAGTCGGACAGTAACAGCTGAGCATATAAGTCGGATAGTAAAAGCTGAGCATTGTGGTAGGACAGTAAAAGCTGAACATTGTGGTAGGACAGTAAAAGCTGAGCATTGTGGTAGGACAGTAACAGCTGAGCATATAAGTCGGATAGTAAAAGCTGAGCATTGAAGTAGGACAGTAACAGCTGAACATTGAAGTAAGACAGTAAAAGCTGAGCATTGACGTCGGCCAGTAACAGCTGAAAATTAAATAGCTACAACTTCGCAGCTGAGATGGATATAGCAAGAGATAGAAGTGATGAAGCTACCAAAACAAATCTATGGGTCCAGGGTATTTATCATAATAGAATGAAGATATATAATACTAGATAATCGATAATGCATCTGATTGGTTATGAGATAACTACCCCTTGAAAATCCGGCTTAGAATTGGTCTTCAGCTGCCCATGCTTGTTGTAACAGGCAAGATCGGCTCGCTGACTTGGTTTATGCATGGCATCGCATACGTTTGCGTAGATCGATGTTCATGATGCCCATCACTGGATTTTCTGGTCCAGAATATTTACAGACATACGGCTGCAATATTGCTGAGCGCGGTGTTAAACAGCAAACAAACAAAATAAGATAACACACACGTGACAACTACAAACTCTACCCGTCGGGGTATGATGACACACATTCAACCGCGTCACCGAGCTTGACCATCCGATTCATTTAACGCCTTTTACAACACGAAACCGACCATTTGACATTCTGAGAGTTGGGTGGGGTTGGAGATCGTGTACCGATACCAGATATTTTTTCAGCTTCAAAGCCAGATATGTTTTTAATTGAAACTATGAAAAACTACATATTGTTTCTTTTAAATCACCTTGCAATAATGTAATATTTGAGGCTGACAATTATTTTTTCAACAGTCTAATTTATAATTATTTTTTCCGAGCATTTTCTGGGACAATATTTTGTCCAGTGACTATGTATTTTCTCTGTTGATGAAAATGGACAGAATTGGCTACTGTGCATCAAGTATATCCAACTGAAGGGGATAACATCAACAGTCATGCATGCGGACATGGCGTCAACTGTAGGGGGTGGTGCTCCTTCCTTCCACTGTTAAGAGGCGAAGAGAGCGCCCGAAATATGATGCTAGATAAGGAAGACCTTAAGGAAAATGCTGATAAAATACATGACATGATTATGGATGATCGACAACTCACCACAAGTCACATAGCCAGACAATGGGCTTCTCTCGCGGGGGGGTGAGAACATTCTGAGGAATGCACTGGGCAGGACAAAGGTTTCAGCACGCTGGATTCCAAGGCTTCTGACTCCTGATTAGAAACGCCTCGGGTTCATATGTCATCGTTTTGAGACATATTTTAACCATTGATGACTCTTGGGTTCACCATTGTCAAGCAGAGACGAAACAACAGTCGAAACATCTAACGTCTCCGAAAAAGCAAGGCCTGTCAAGGTGATTGATGGCTTCGTGTTTCTGGGATTCCAAGCGATTCCTACTGGTGGACTACCTCCCGAAAGGTCAGACCAATAATGGCCGATAAACTGCACCGATAACTGTGTGAAAATACCAAGGCTAAAGTTGTGCATAGATCACTTAAGGGGTTTTGTTCCACCATGACAACACACCTGTGCCAAAGTCTGTTGTCGCTGTTGCTGAAATACATGACTGTGGCTTTGAATTCATGAAGCATCCTCCGTATATACCAAATTTGGCACTGCCACTTTTCCACCGTCCAAACTTGGAAAAAAAGAACTGTGTGGCAAATATTATGAAAATGATGATAACGTCATTTCTGCTGTGGGTGAACATTCACACCACCAAGAGGACGCCTTCAACACAAATGAGATCCAGCAGAGACCATAAAATAGAATCTAAGAACATCTAGAAATAAAATCTATTTTATGGTTTCTGGGTCCAGCATCGTTGGCAGAAGTGTTTGGACCTCGGAGGGGATTGATGCTGAAAAATAATTAGCAAGTTCCAGCGTTAGAAATTGGCACTAGTCCTTTAGTCCTTGCCAAAATGCCCAGTAGTTAAGGTAACATAAGGACAAGTAGAAATTTGCCATTTTAAAGGGTTTTGTTGTATCTTATCAATAAAAGACTGGTGGACTAAAAATGTTAGTTACCACCGCAAGATCAACGCAATCCATCAAAGTGTAGTCTCGGAACTTTTCACACACTCGTATATACTTTGTCATATTGCTGTTGGAACAATGAATACTGCAGCGTTAAACAACAAACACAAACGACTGGTGTAGCATGGTATGCTATATTATCGCGGTAGTTAATTTATAATGGATCGTAATGGCGAACCCAAATCCCGAATCCCGGTTCGCCCGATTATGTTTCTAGGTTTGTCAGCAACATACCCGTGCTCGTGGGTTTCACCGAAGTGGTAAACGTCTGAGACCTGCATCACTTCGGGCTTAAATAATTGAAAAATATGAAAAGACAATAGTTGAGCATATCGTCATTGCATATGTATAGTTTCAATTTCGGATAATTCATCGGGTTTGTATGGTGGCATGTGTGGGTCTGCGTATGTGTGTGTGTGTGTGTGCGTGTGTGTGCACTGTGTGACACTATGCAGTCCTCCCATGTCTTCGCGTTCTTTGAAAGGTTGATAATTTCCTAAATGGGGATCCTGTTGGGATTCTTGTGCAGACGAGATCTCCATGCAGGACGCCATGTTTGTGAGCTCCGTCAAATACAGGCCAGGGATTACAATGATGTGTCAACGTGTCCTGTTTGATTGTTTGTTTGTTGTTTAACGCCGCACTCAGCAATATTCCAGCTATATGACGTCGGTCTGTAAATCGAGTCTTACCGGATACAATCAAGTGACTCACATCATGAGCATTGATCTACGAAAATGGAATACGATGACATCCATCAACCAAGTCAGCGAACCTGACCATGCACCCGATCCCGTTAGTCGCCTCTTACGACAAGCAATGCCGCCTCTATTGAAAAACATGGGTTGCAGAAGACCTACTCTAACCCGGATCTTCACGGGTCCAACTTGTCCTGACTTTGGTGTAAAAAAACATTGATTCAATGTCGAAATAAGTAGAACAAGAAAAAAAGTGAGCGTGGCTCACTAATACTCCCGACCCGCCTAGTGTGTCAATAGTTTCAAATTAAATAGCGAGGATAGGGTTAGGGTTTGAAAAATTCATTCAGAAAATGGAAAATTAATAAAAACAATTGTTTTCTTTTGACTGCACCCCTCCATATGACACAGATTATATGTACTAAGTTTGAGATGAATCCACTGAATAGTTTAAGAAAAATTGCGCGGACAAAGTTTTCGGACGGACGTTAGCTTGTTTTTGAAAAATAAATATGTTCAACAAGTAATATAGAAAAAAAGGCCTTACCATGTGACAGATGGAGTTTTACTGATACGCTTCATAATGTAATCATGCACATATAAGCATGGCCCTAGATTTCTTTTGTGTGTGTGTGTGTGTGTGTGTGTGTGTGTGTGTTGTTTATCGTCAAAGAAACGTCTAGTCAAAAATAATTGCAAAAGATGACACCATTTATATTCAGAAATGTTGGCAAAACTAGAAGAAGGAATATAGATCTAGTTTGCCCGGGGCGATTGTGTCGCCTTACTCCACGGAGATCGACGATGATGAACCACTTGTTTGTCTCGTCCAGATTCGATTATTTACAGGTGGCAGTAGGCGAATCTAGCTGGGCCATGGATGCGGTGTACCATGGCTTCATGGTACGCACTGAGTCACTGACAATATTTCCTCTTTGGTCACCACTCGGGTTATTCCGGGGCAAGCACATTGCATACGTATTTTTTTAGATAATTTTATTTCTGGGACTTAGTGTCTCCGTCACACTTGCATTTTTCCGTAACCTTCCAGACTCGCAATGGCAAGAGAAGGGTAAAGCAGAGTTACGGGCCCTTACGATGAGCTGCGATTGCATCCGGCCAAGGCAAGGCAAAGCCGGGCCCCTTCTCTTTATATCCAATCACATTAAAATCAGATCTTAGTTCTTGCTGCCGATAAACAAAGATCTTTGTTTAGCGGTAGCGAGAACTAAGATCTGATTTTAATGAGATTGATTTATATCACAATTTTATTAATTTTTCTTTTTAATCTTGTCTTATCAGAAAATCACTTAACAAGTGTGGAACTTGCATATACATTACAGCTAAACGACTTCCCGTATTTTTTCATTGCGACGTCTCTCTGCATTCGTGACCAACTCGAGTTATTCCGGGACAAACAGAATAGCGACTCGTGCCCCTCTCATGGCCATTTTTGCGACCGGGTTCCGTCTTAGCGCAAACGGGCATACCTACGACAATTGTCAACTCGTTGCGTAATGGTTCACATATTATTTCCCCATGTATTATCTATATTTCAGATGCAATTTAAAGCACATTGGGACGTGCGGAATTATACAGTATGATTGAACACATTTAACTGTATCTTGGGTATATTTTTAGATCAGAGATATTTCTGAGGGATTTATTGACGAAGAAAATGAAATCATACGCGCATTCTGATTGGTTTGTCGTATTTTCGCACATAACATTTATCGAGGGGTGGGGGGTGGGTGGGGGGGGGGGTGGGGGGAGTCTTCTTGCAGGCTACGGAAAGGGGCGAGTGGTGACGAATGAGTCCAGCAAAGTAAACCGGTTGTGACGTCAAGTTAGAGTCGGACAAGCTCCACCCCTGCACCAATCGATGGCCAAGATCAGCTTAGAGGGAAGGAGATATCGCTGTGAGGAGCTTCCAATGGGACACGCTTTCAGTCTAAAATTAGTAACAGGGGGATTTCCCATGCATATCGAAACCAGGAAATTGTCGTCGACATATCTTTGCTCTCGCAACTGCGTTTTATAATGTTTCATGATAATCCGAAGATACAGGTGTCAATATAAACAATCCCTTAGCCTGTCAACACCGTGGCAACTGTAGAGAGGACGGATACAGATTTGATTTTTATACTGAAACGAACAGGTAACACGAACCAAGGGCTCGTGGGCAAGTCCCGCGGATCTGTAGTTGAATGGATCACAATTCGCTGATGTGTGTTTTCTTGCTTTCCGAAAACAATGATCGATTAGATATTGACCATGGTTATTACTACACTGACTTTTGCACCATGATTTTCAAACTCCATAGTCAGATTACAAATTACAGAATACCGTGGAAGTTGTATTTATGTTTATGTTTAACCTTGTTCTGGGTTATTTACCTTAAATTGAAGACACACCTTGTTTTTGTGTTGTATTGTTGAGAGTTAGTATTTATTAGCCATGTATTAGCAACCAGTGGAGGCCAGATAGTAACAGCAGAGCAGTATGAAGCAATGATTTCATAGCTAGGGTTGTAAATTGAAGTCATGTTTTTTCAGGTGTTTATGGAGTGTATTTTTAACAATGTGTATATTCCTAATGTAGCAGGGCGTGGAGTCATCCCACAGATGACATCCTTACCTTGTCAGCTTGCTGATGGGGTTAACATCTTTGGTCATGTGGACAAGGTGTCCGACCTCTGATCAGAAGGTCCGTGGTTTCGAAATCCAATCACGGGACTCTGAAATTTTATGGCCGCTACATTGGCGCCAAACGTGGGGCTGAGCACGTTCATATTAAATTTGAGCAAAATAAGCATTAGTACCCTACTATGCAGCCCGGGACGTGCCTTCTGTTGACGGGGGAGTATGTAGCAGGGCGTGGAGTCATCACTCAGATGACATCCTTACCTTGTCAGCTTGCTGATGGGTCTAACCTCTTTGGTAATGTTGACAAGGTGTCCGATCTCTGATCAGAATGTCTGTGGTTTCGAATCCCATCACGGGACTCGGAGATTTTATGGCCGCTACACCTACAGTGACTGTGTTTACTGAGCTTTGGTTGATGGCATCACTTCCCTTCCACTTCATTTTTGTACATGTGTATGTGTGACCCTGTGGGGATTCTCTGGTAGCAGATAATTGTCTCCCCATGGGTATGTGGCAAGGATAGGTTCTATGTACCCCATGATTGTCTCCCTGTGGGGATTCCAGGCCAGAATAAAGTTCTCCAGTACCCCATGGTGGCCTCCTTGTGGGGATTCCAGGCCAGAATACAGTTCTCCAGTACCCCATGATTGTCTCCCTGTGGGGATTCCATGCCAGAATACAGTTCTCCAGTACCCCATGTTTGTCTCCCTGTGGGGATTCCAGGCCAGAATACTGTTCTCCAGTACCCCATGTTTGTCTCCCTGTGGGGATTCCAGGCCAGAATGCTGTTCTCCAGTATCCCATGTTTGTCTCCCTGTGGGGATTCCAGGCCAGAATACAGTTCTCCAGTATCCCATGTTTGTCTCCCTGTGGGGATTCCAGGCCAGAATGCTGTTCTCCAGTACCCCACGTTTGTCTCCCTGTGGGGATTCCAGGCCAGAATACTGTTCTCCAGTACCCCATGATTGTCTCCCTGTGGGGATTCCAGGCCACAGTTCTCCAGTACCCCATGTTTGTCTCCCTGTGGGGATTCCAGGCCAGAATACAGTTCTCCAGTACCCCATGTTTGTCTCCCTGTGGGGATTCCAGGCCAGAATACTGTTCTCCAGTACCCCATGTTTGTCTCCCTGTGGGGATTCCAGGCCAGAATGCTGTTCTCCAGTATCCCATGTTTGTCTCCCTGTGGGGATTCCAGGCCAGAATACAGTTCTCCAGTACCCCATGTTTGTCTCCCTGTGGGGATTCCAGGCCAGAATACTGTTCTCCAGTACCCCATGATTGTCTCCCTGTGGGGATTCCAGGCCACAGTTCTCCAGTATCCCATGTTTGTCTCCCTGTTAGGATTCGAGGCCAGAATAGATCCCCAATTCTCCATGCTTGTTTCTCTGTTACCATGGTTACTCTTCCAGGCAAAATAGATCCCCAAGTTGATCTCATGCTTGTCTCAACAAACCTAATGCTTTAAATACTTCTCCAATCATATAACACTCATGAGCGAGATCAATTCTATGCTAAGATACGAGCATGAAGGAGGTGACATCATTTCCAACACTAGGATATGTTGGCGATGTGGTCCAGGGTATTTATCATAATGGAATGGAAATATACCGGTAATACTCTGGATAATAAAGGATGGCCACAAATGATATTTCTTATGCCATCAACCATTTGCATCCCTTGCCTAAACATGATTATTGATAGACTTGCTGAAGACAATATATATCTTAACTGTGCAGAGCTCCAGATGAGCTGCGTATCTGCGTAAAATACGCATCAGAAATGCAGAAATACGCAGTAAAATAAAATCGAACATTACAGATACGCTACAAAAATAAAACTTGTGCGTATCATCAAAATATTGTGAAGTAACCCTGCGTATTCGTTTAGCAAATCAGCAACTAATTTTGAAATTATAAACGGGCATTCTGTCAACCTTGCCAAACTCCATGATGACAGTAAAATCATGATCATTTGCCATCACACTTTCTTGTGGAAGTATCGTGGTATTTTTGCGTCCTATAAAGCTCTCGAACCCACACGACACCAGTTTGCAGGGACTAGATGAAAAGTGTTTTTAAATATTTATTTTAAATACCAACATGTGTAAAAACTAGTGGTAACAGAAATTTGAATACCCAGATAGAATTACTGATACCCAATGATTTTAAAATGCATGGGTAATAAACAACACTACCTCTTGTTGCTGATGTGATTGCTTTTTGTTGTCGAACTTTTTGTGAACTACAAATCAACTATGAATACATTAATCTTGACTGTTTACCGCAAAAATTAGTGATAAAAGTAATAAAAATAGTTTTTCCAATAAATCACATTTTAAGATGACAATTTCTTTTCAGGATATGGGTCAGCTGTGACTGCTGTTGAACAATGGAAGAAGTTCAGAGAGAGGCTCTGAGACGGAGCCGAGTCTTCCTGGTGACCAATCTAATGCCCAACACTCTGTGGGACCACCTGGTTGAAAAAGGTGTCTTCACAGACATGATGTTGGAATATATCAAGGTTCGTTTCACACTCCGTCGCAGTGGTGACTCAGCATAACACCACTGCCACAGGCTAATTTGCATATCACGTGACCAGACTTTTCTCTTGTTTGTAAACAAACGCGCTTTTTCAGAAATCAGTATAGAACGGACTAATGCAAGTATTTGGGGGCGCTTTACATATTGTTTTGCATAACTATATAGACATGCTACTACAACTGCGACAGTGAGTTGCATGACAATATATATTTATGCATCAAAGTGACCATGTCGCTACCTCTCCGTTGGGCTTCGATGACAGCACGTGGAGCCGTACAACCAATGTAAACATAGGATAACTACGCAAAAACAAGTAGATTTTTACGTATTTGCATACTTTCTCAATGAAAGTTAACCATTCTTTGACATTTGTTTATGAAAATGTGTAGACTTGTCAAACATGAAACGGATGAAAAGCATATGCAATATCTTGAATGGACTGTGAAAGATGTGACGAATCGTCACATGGCGCTGGCCTGTGGCAGAGGTACTATGCTAGCTGGCTGCCGGCCGCATGGAACTCTGGCGCTGGCCTGTGGCAGAGGTACTATGCTAGCTGGCTGCCGGCCGCATGGAACTCTGGGTAGGAGAGTGGGTTCGTTTGTGGGGAGGATTTTGAGAAGGGTAGCCATGACAGATTTTTGATTATCTCTCCCTGATGAGACAGTGACATAATTTTGAATTTTAAAATGCTAGGTTACCATGGTTACAGTTTTTGTCGTATCAAGCGCCCTGCTCCATAAGCAGCCAACTGACCCACTTGTGGATCAACCTGTTTGAAATAAAATATATTGCCAGGCTGCCATCAGGACCCTCAGACTTTAGAAGCTGCATGGTGTATTGTATTTTGACCTGGAATCCCCAAAGAATCACACAGTTTAGAAATCTGAAATCTGATTGACTCCAAAGACTCGGGGGACACGGGGGCCCAGTCGTCTAAGGCGCCGCGATTCGCTGTGCAGAGTTGCGTCCCTTGGCATGCCAGAAACCTATGATTGTGGGTTCGGATCCCAGTTCGCCCCGATTATATTTCTAGGTTTGTCAGCACCATACCCGTGCTCGTAGGTTTCACCGAAGTGGTAAACGTCTGAGACCTGCATCACTTCAGGCTTACCTCCCACATTAAGCTGGCACGCCGCGATATGACTGGAATACTGTTAAAAGCGGCGTTAAACCCAACTCACTCACTCACTCCAAGGACCCATGCATCTTTCATTTAGATCGTGCAGACAAGATTTGTTCAGAGTTCACCTGAAGCGGTGAATAGGTAGACAGTTAGAATATCAGTGCAAAAGGTGAGGTGAGGTGCAGTGGGGTTTAACGTCGCATTCAAGATTATGGCACTTATATAGAGATGTGCATGCATGTGTGTGTGGCTGTTTGTTCTTGTCCATACTAATGCTGATTTTATAGTGCTAGCTGCTGTTTAACATGACTACCCTACTCAGACACAATATACAGACTCCGCGCCGACTAGTCCTTGTCTTAGCCCTATAATGCCGAGTGCCAGGTAAGGTTAAAACAAGTGCCATCTTTAAACGTCAATTGATATGACGCAGCCCAGGATCCAACACCCGACCTTCCGCTCTCCAGGTGGATGCTCTAATCCCTGAAAATGATAGGGGGCACGGGTTGCCCAGTCGTCTAAGGCGCCACTATTCGCTGTGCAGAGTTGCGTCCCATGGGCACGCCAGACACCTCTGATTGTGGGTTCGAATCCCAGTTCTCCCCGATTATGTTTCTGGGTTTGTCAGCACCATACCCGTTCTTGTGGGTTTCGCCTGAGACCTGCATCACTTCCGGCTTTCCTCCCACATTAAGCTGACACGCCATGATATAACTGGAATACTGTTAAGAGCAGCATTAAACCCACTCACTCACTCACTCACTCACTGAAAATGGTAGGCATCGTTTAGGATCAAAACATCTGACTGTTATGCAATGGGAGCTCTAACAACTACTGACGGAGTTATTACCCTTCTTGTCTTTGTTCTGTTTAGTGCAAAACCCCCAGAAGTGAGCAGGTCCGAACTCTCCTGTCGGACTTGAACCGCCGACACCGAGGGGCATACAGTGCTTTCCTGGAATGTTTGGAGGAAACGGGTCACGAACACTGTGCCCAACACATACGCGGCCATGAAATGAAATATCGTGTTGAGAAAGGGCTCGCTCCGGTAATGCAGGAGACGAGCTCAAACACCAGCAGTGAGCAGGCGCCTTCTGGGATGATTGTCGGTCAGACGGCCCAAGTGGTGACAACTTCGCCTCATACGCAGCCCGTTGATGACGATGAAGATGTGGAGATGCTATTACAGGACAATCCTCAGTCGTCCACATCTCAATCAAGCTCAAGTGAACCTCGTAAGAAGATTCTATTTAGCCTATTTATTTGTTCAAAGGTGCTAGAACCTAAATAAGAAGAGAATTTTAATACTGATTTTACTTATCTCATCCTACTGAGGTTTTTTTCTTTAAAAAAACAAAATCCCTAAACCAGTCATTAATATGAAAAAAGGTCTAGGGTATATTTTTGAATAAAACAACATGAGAAATGGTATTTTGTGTTTTGTATTCATCTGTATGATATTAGTTATCGATAGTATATTGGGACATCAAAGTTAATTATTGGTATTTCACCTGGTCATCGATGTTCTGCAATCATGGACAATTGTGATGCATTGATAGTTTGATCAATTGTTATACCCTTACCTGTGCTTACCTGTATTTACCTGTGCTTACCTGTATTTACCTGTATTTCCCTATACGTACCTGTATTTACCTGTATTTACCTGTACGTACCTGTACATACATTCATGCTTATCTTTGCTTCAGCATCCATACCTCTGCATGGCTACACCTACCACAGGCGTTATACCACTGATGAAGTGAGTGAAAAAAAATTCTTGAGCTTGATTATCAGGAATTTTCCCTTCATTTATCTGTTTTAGACATATTTTATTGACATTAAAGGGTCAAATGGATATGGCAAAGTTTGTCCAAGTTACGATGCCCTTTCCATAAACATTTATGCAGACAGCAGACAATCGTGTAATTATTAAACATTAAAATATATAAATTGCATACAAAGCACAATACTTCTGGGGCAAAAAGTAAGATTTATAATTTATAAAATGCATAGAATATTGTAGCGATGAATGCTGTATAGTATTCATATGGTGAGAGGTTGTAACTGGTAAAATACCAACTGTTTGTTGATTTCTTTCATTCAGGTTTACAACATGGACAGCACTCCACGTGGTCATGTGTTCATCATCAACAACTGCAAGTTTGACTACTTGGCTGAAAGAACAGGAACACACAGAGATGCACAAAACGTGAAAACTATGTTTGAGGAACTAGGATTTGAAGTCAACATTTTACATGATTTAACAGCTGAGGTAGGTGACGGTGACGACGAGTGTCATTACGAACTGACTTTCACTTTGTTTGAACTGTCACATCTTCCTGAGTCAAGGGAGTTAACTGACTTTAAAAGTCCAGTTTCCACCCTTGCCGAACTAGGCTGGAATTCCTGGGCTCGATCGTAGCGCCACCAGTGGCTATTACAAGTTATGTCCCCTCTAAGCCTCTCCTATGGACCAATCAGATTCCACCTCTTGTATCACTTGCGTTTGCTTCAAACATAATGGCAGCACCCAGTCAGGACCATCTGATCGATAATCAAACGGGTCTTACATCGCGAAATGCATCAAATCACGTGAGCACCTTGATTAAAAACTGCTTAAAAATCTGCTGACAACAAGTTGGCAGTGTACATGCTTTGCAAATCCTGCAATCGACCGAAATCTGCATAACAGTTTACGAACAGGATTTTTGATTTCGGTGCACGATTTTGATTGGACTATGCATAGACTTGTTAGTCCAGCCAAAATGTAACTCCATAATACCAGCCTAGTTCAGCAAGGGTGGAAACTGGACTTGTATAGTCAGTTTACACTCTTGCCTCGGGAAGATGGGATTGTCACTGAGCGCAGACTGAACCCTGTGAACCAATATGTTTGTGAAAGCAATAATTCCTTTAAAATGAAATACTATATAAACATATGTATTTGGGCTGGGACAAGTCCAAATTTACTACCTGGGTACCCCCCCCCGCCGTCCTCAGTCAAATTTCATGTATCCCGCTGAGAAATCAATCGGAAAACATAAGTCAGTCAACTCAGCAGGAGAGGTTGGAGGTCATTTAAGATGAAGCGTGAGCTGGAGAGAATCAGGGGAGGTAACCTAGACCGGGTTGATAATTGCTGGATACATTTTTTGAAGGGTCCTTAAAAAGGTTATTTAACATGGGTTTATGATAGTGATAGATCCAGATGGGGGTACCAGGCGGTCCGGACCTCCCTCTTTTGAAAACCAAATGTATGTTGTAGGCAGTAAATTTGACTTAGGGGGACTTTGATATTTTGGACCCCTCCCTTTTAAAAATGCTGGATCCGCCCATGGGTAATATTTGTGTCATACTGATGATCTCATCAACTACATACCATATTACCCAGTAAGACAAGAGTCAACCAGCACTTGGGTAGTTGGACATAAGGGGTCTAGTGCTTATTACCTTGAGAGCAATATATGATAATTGATAAATATACTATAAGTTGTAACAGGATCACAGGAGGTACTTGGGGTTTTATGGGCCCCACGTTAGGTTTTATACCACGACGCATAAAACATCATGTACCCATCACGATCCTGCTCAAAAGAATTTAATTTATTGACATGACATTGTAAAATAATTCAAAATTGATAGAAAAAAGCTGTTCAAATTGAGCTGAGGTTACCTTGTGCTATGTCACGTGACTTTCATTGACGTAAAAAAAGTGTGCAGCTTTTTGCTCAAAAGTGGTTTATAAGGGATTTATTCTGCTTCTCAAAAGTCCATGTGCAGCTTGACTTGCTTGTGGTGATATGAGAAGTTTTTTCCCGCTGATGTATTTATAATTCCCCTCCAAGGCGAGATACACAGTATTTTATCAAGATCAATCAGATCCCATCATTCCGACAAGGGGGTATGATAAAATAATTATACCATGACAGCCCCAAACAACGTTTATTCTGAAGATAATAAATATATTATCTGATTTCTGTAAATGCAGTGCTGTTGTCTTTCAGATGATGAGGATCAGGCTGAGAGAATTTGCGAGGAAATGTCCCTGGAACCAAGTTGATTCTTGTGTGGTGGTGATTCTGACTCACGGCAGTGACGCCCAGCGGATGTATGGCACCGATGGGAACTTTGACAATTACAACTTCATCACTAATAGAGATCTTTTTGACATATATGGTAGCAGCAACTGCCCTGGCCTACAAGGGAAACCGAAGTTCTTTCTGATACAAGCTTGCCGGGGATGTGAGTAGGATTTCTTATACATCTCTTGTGGCACTAGGTAAGGACAATTATTAAGGTATATTCCTGAGGCAAGGGAGATAACTGACTTTAAAAGTCCAGTTTCCACCCTTGCAGAACTAGGCTGGAATTATGGAATTACATTTTGTCTGGACTAACCTGTTAATGCATTATCCAATCAAAATCGAGTAATGAAATCGACATCTTGTTTGTAAAGTGCCATTCAGATTGCGGTTGATTGAAGGATTTGCAAAGTAATCGCTCGTCCGATACCAGAACTATTCACTCTTTCATAAAATTGGTTTTACACGGGAACGAGTTTAGTATTTTATTTATTACTGGCCATTTATAACGTTTTGAGAATTTATACTGTTGAGTGTGAATAGGCTGACACCTACATGATCCACGGCATAATCTAATTGAGTTTTAACAGAATAATACTTCTAACATGTCAATAGTTGAAACATATGAATTTAATACCATACAACGGTCCACCTTTAGAATGCAGGCGTCCGTTCCACAAAATTATCGTAGCGCTAAGTTTATCGCAACTCACATACTTTAACTTAGACTAACGACTGTCGTTGCGGTACATTACGATCGCCTTGTGGAACGGGGCCTTGCACCTCAAAGCTTACAATCATGTCACAATACCCGATGACGTAATTTGTGGAATTTTGTTGCAAGATCCATAGGTGAAACACTGCCATGTGACGTCAGCCTAGCAACAAGGTTGCTGGGGACATCCAATGTGCATAAGCTCCTCTCAGTGATCTATCAACTCCACACACAATGTCGATGAAAAAGCCAAGGGATGTTGAGAGCTTTCAATATTTGTTCGTGAAACTTGTTCCAAGAGTACATAAGCATGCCTTTAGGAATTACACAATGTGTAATACAGCTGTATGTTTATTAAACGGGTTATCTCTTCAGGAGCAAGTAATAACTTCAACTTAGCATCAACAGATATTTTCCAAATCTGTTCATGTTTTTCATCATGAGATTTTATGAAGTAAGACCCTGTATAATTACAGTATAGATTTTGATTAGCAATCAGATTGTCTTCACTTGTGCCGCCATTTGTTTGAAGGGAATGCAAGTGGTATCAGCATGATCAGAGGTGCAGTCTGATTGGTCAATAGAAGGGACAGAGAAGGGACATGACTCGTAATAGCCTCTGGTGGCACTACACGAGCCCAGAAATTCCAGCCTTGTTTGCCAAGTGTGGAAACTGACTTAAGAGTCAGTTGTCTCCCTTGCCTCAGGAAGATGCTATTAGGGACAGGTTAAGTCCCTGGTCAAAAGTTCAGTGTGCACTGATTTCAATCTCAGCCCCCTCGGGAGTATACAACTATGCCTTGATGCTATATTTTGTTTCTTTATAAGTCTAACTCTATATTTGCAACAACGCTTTTAATATTTTGGTAGCCTGTGTTTTGTTTATGGTTGGGAGGCTACAGCTGTCTTCACATTCATACAGACAAGTGATCGCACATGTCACTCCGTGGACATGCTCAAATGTGTATTGACTGGAAGAAATGTTGCGAACTACAAATCTTGTGTTTGAATACAACAACTCATTTAATAAATGGTAATCATTCTGGTATATCTGAAAGTTGCCTATTTCTCCCAGCGGAAGAAGACTTGGGCTGTGTTAGTCTCTCCCCCACAAGGCATTCTATACAGGAAACCACTGAAACAGATATCATGGCTGAACAGGGCGATGCCTTCGCGGAAACCGATCGACCAGATGGACGTAGCCTGGGCTTGCTGTCTCTCCCGTCCTTCTCCGACATGATCATTGCTCATTCCAGCGTAGCAGGTAACTCACAAGTTTTAAACTTGTATTTCAGGCTTTATAAATAGTGGGGCGGTCGGGTAGCCTAGTGGTTAAAGCGTTCGCTCGTCACGCCGAAGACCCGGGTTCGATTCCCGACATGGGTACAATGTGTGAAGCCCATTTCTGGTGTCCCCCGCCGTGATATTGCTGGAATATTGCTAAAAGCGGCGTAAAACCAAACTCACTCACTCACTCACTTTATAAATAGTGTATGTTATTAAACGAAAAGAAAATTTTAAGTAATAGTTTTTGTCTCGGGTCAGACATAAGTCACAGCTGCGGATCTCATTCAGTTGATTTGCTAATATGGACATTGTGGAGATTTTGACATGGTCCCTGTAAGGTCTAACATGTCTAAGAGTTGATAGGCAGATCCAGAGGTAGGGTCCATGGGGTCCAGACCCCCCACCCCCTACCCCACCCACCCCCCCTCCTTCCCAACCCCCTTTCGAAAACAATTTTTTTGTATGTTTGTATGGTAGGCAGTAAAATTTTCTGAGAGAGCATTTTGATGTTTTAATTGGACCCCTCCCTTTTAAAATTGCTGTATCTGCACTCTGATGGTGTCTATTGTTGCTCATAAAACCCTGGGGTGGTGAGGTAGCCTAGTGGTTAAAGCGTTCACTCATCAAGCCGAAGACCCGGGTTTCATTCCCCACATGGGTAAAATGTGTGAAGCCATTTCTGGTGTCCCTCGCCGTGATATTGCTGGAATATTGCTAAAAGTGGCATAAACCTTACTCACTCACACTTAAAACCCCATGGTGTATCTGGTCCAGATTATTTATGTCACCATATAGCTGGAATATTGTTGATTCCAAAAGCAACAAAATTCAAGTCAACATAGTCTCACAACAAAATCATTATAATTTGGTTGAGAAATGTTCTTCTATACAGATATGAAGTAACCTGTCAAAAAAGTCAAAGAAGTAGCTGTTGAATCACTAATAGTGTTTCATAAACTATACTACATTTCTCGCTCCTGGGGTGGTCGGGTAGCCTAGTGGTTAAGCGTTCGCTCGTCACACCGAAGACCCGGGTTCGATTCCCGACATGGGTACAATGTGTGAAGCTTATGTCTGGTGTCCCCCACCGTGATATTGCTGGAATATTGCTAAAGCGGCGTAAAACCATACTCACTCACTCACGCTCGCTGCTGGCGGTGTTAGCATGACTAAGGACAAGCTAAAGGACAAAATGGCTACTGAAAACCTCATCTAGATACGTATTTGTACCCAGTTCTATATATCATGGTGACATCTTGATAAGTATTGGATGTCTACATCTGCCAATTACAGAGAATATAAGTCTAGCTACAGATCGGATGCCATTTTGTATTAATAGCGTGTCCTAGCAACAGGTTGAAACGGTTGAAATCGTGACTGATGGACTGTACAGGTGAGGTGAAATTGGGTTTAACGTCGTGTCCAAGATTATTGCACTTATATTGCGACATGCAAGTCGGTGGCTGCTTGCACTAGTCCGGACTGTACCGATTTCATAGTGCTAGCACACTGAGATACCATGCTGCAGTTTTACATGAATACCCCACTCAGACAAAGTATACAGACTCCGAACGGATCAGTTCCTTGTTTTAGCCCCTTAATGCCGAGCGCCAGACAGGGTAACAACAAATAGCATCTTTTAACAGCTTTTGGTATGACGCAGCCGGGAATCGAAACCCGGACCTTCGCTCTCCGGGCGGACGCTAGACCACGTCTGGACCATAAAGGCATGTTTTATCCAGGGTTGTTGTAAGTGGGATGATAGACAGATTATCTTTGTTGCAGGGTTCGTATCATACCGGACCTTAAGGCATGTTTCAACCAGGGTTGCTGTAAGTGGGATGATAGACAGACTATCTTTTTTTGCAGGGTTCGTATCGTACCGAGCCATAAGGCATGTTTCATCCAGGGTTGTTGTAAGTGGGATGATAGACAGACTATCTTTGTTGCAGGGTTCGTATCATACCGGACCTTAAGGCATGTTTCATCCAGGGTTGCTGTAAGTGGGATGATAGACAGATTATCTTTGTTGCAGGGTTCGTATCATACCGGACCTTAAGGCATGTTTCAACCAGGGTTGCTGTAAGTGGGATGATAGACAGATTATCTTTGTTGCAGGGTTCGTATCGTACAGGAATACAGAGCACGGGAGCTATTTCATAAGTTCGGTGGTGGAGGTGTTCAGGAACTTTGCAGACAAGTGTGATATTAACGACATGCTCACAAAGGTAGGATCAGGATCACTGCTAATATTCGATTCTGGATTCGAGACTTCTCCTTGAATACGAAACTGCCCACTAATACTTTGGGAATGACTTTACGGCAGCCATCTTGTTTTGCTTTAGGCTGGCAGTGAGTGACAACACGTATGAGAGCAGGTAGTGTGTTGTGTTTGCTGATGAATACAAATGTGTATGTGAAGAACCTGTGTCTGCCTATTAAAACAATCACTTTGTAAGATCTGGGGGAGAGATCAGAGTAACGAACACAGAGGAGAAGGTTTAATGTGTAGTATAAATAGAATTATCGTTGTGATAAACCGACTGTGACTATCTGATAAATATGCAAATGACATTACCCAGGGTGGTTAGGCTCGCTGACTTGGTTGATGCATGTCATGGATCCGGATTGCATGGATCGATGCTCATGATGTCAATCACTGGATTTTCTGGTCCAGACTCGATTATTTACAGACCGCCGTCATATAGCTGGAATATTGCTGAATGCGGCGTTAAACAACAAACAAACAAACAACTACTACTACTACTACTATTACTACTACCACTACTACTACTACTACCACTACTACTGCTACTACTACTATTAAGATGATGATGATGATGACGATCTGTCCAGGTTAACAGGAAGATCGCTGAGAACTTCCAGACGGAGGACGGCAAGAAGATGATGCCAGCCTCCACAAACCAGCTGCTCAAGAAGTGGTTCCTCAATCCCCAGATCCGACAGGCGCCGCGATAAGAGTGTCTGGTTGAAAGATGTTCTTAAGGATTTGTGTGAAGAGAAAGAGAGAAAATATGAGATGTGTTTGGTCAGAACTATTGATTGATTATCAAATCCCTGAAAATAATTTGTAATTAAGACTGCTTTGAGGGGTTTTGTGTCAAATCATGCTAATAAGATATGTAAATCAATAGATTCATATGAGAATTCACACGTTTCTAGGGTAACATGGTCACATAATAACACATACATAACTAATAGGGCTGGGACGGGTAACTCTGGTACTCGGATGGGGTGGGTACTGAGTAGGACCCGGGTACCCACAGGACTACCCAGACCAAAGGTTAGTCACGTGATATAGTGTTAAATGGCAAAAATTGTCCGCATTTCTTTCTGATTTTATAAATTTGAATAGAGATAAAAGGTTATGCAAGACCAGATCGTTTTATACGAGTATCTGAAGACATTTTGCCAGGGCTATGGTCAAAATATTCCCAATCGGACAATTGTACCTATCTCTTGACACCAACAGCGGGTACCCGGGTAGGGTTGGGTAATAGGGGGGTAGGTACCCTGGTAGTAAATTTAGACTCATCCCAGCCCTAATAATTAGCCTATCAGATGCAAGCACAGATAATGTATAGGAGAAAAAGTATGTCAAAAACTGAAATTTAGCTGTCAGTGCTAACAGGATGTTTTAGTGTTCCAATAGATCAATACCATGCTGGGTCGCCGACGGTAAAGACATGAGCAAATATTTGTACAGTACAAACATTAGAACAAGGAAATATTTTGTTTACAGATTTTATAATCAATGTGCCACAAGTCAAGAAACCAAGAAAATATGAGATTTGATGAAACTCTCGTTTTTATCAATTTAGAATTTAGGATGGGTTGATCAACAAAAAAACAAAAACGAAATTGGTCCTTCCATGTGAAGTGAGCTGCAGTACCTCGTGGCTTTATATGTTTGTCAGTGTTTTGATTTTTATACTTTATCTATTAAAACCACCTTTTAATTTTTAGAGGTTTTGGAAAATGTTTGAACATGAACAAGTCTTTGAGTTTCAGTGATTCATTGATTGAGGTAGAGACACTTGCTTTAGACCTTTAAGAACTGAGGCAGGACTTATATGTGTCAAAAAGACAAAAGATCACTTTTATGGTCAGTAAGTGTTTTTAAATGTTTAACAATTATACCGTATTCCACGTAATAAGCGCCCTGCTCTAATAAGCGCCCACGGCGATATTTGCTAATATATTGGCGAGTGAACAATCCCAGTTAGCACCCCTTCCGATTGATCAATGTACACAAGACGGATAATACACACTTGTGTGTTATATGCACCCTTAATTATGTGCAATTAAATTCTAGAACGATATATTTGTCGTATATAAACATTTCAGGCTGTCAGCATAAACGATTGAAATTTATCTTTCAACTCTGTTTTTTTTCACCAAAATAATATTCTTATAAGAGCCCCCTATTTCTAAGCCCTGGGCGCTTATTATGTCGCATACGGTAAGTGTTTTACCCAAGTTGATTTTGGCAAAGACAGTACAAATATGTTTACAAGATATAGATTTCATAACAAGAAGTTAAAAGAAATCTTCCCTTTTCACCTTTTTTAGCCATACTACATGTATTTCTTGTAAAAAAACTTGCCAGTGATAGAAAGAAGAAAATCGGATGTCTTTCATAAGAATCAGTTTTCTGCTGCTGCAGAGTAATGGCCCTAATCCTTTTTGTTTTGGGTCTAAGTGATTAGTGTGTGCTTGTACTTCAGATGAGGATTCATCAAACACCAAGAAAACTACAGGCCAGACATTTTGTAAACTATGTTCACAAATCTACCAACTCCCAAAAATGCTAGCCTTGCAGAACTACTGTTAGATAAGCATGCATCTCCAACCTTCCTCGTCAACCAACTACACGAACACATTCATCTAAAGTAAAAAAACTCTGACTGACACTGAGCTAACTTTTCATCTACTCATAAAAAACACATGCAAAAGCAGCTTTGATATTCGGTAATCTCATCTCAAAACTTTCCAGATGCAGTTAATGCTATTGTTATCAACTTTTCATAATTTCATGGTGCAAAACTTTCCAGATCTACATGAGCGCCATATTTCCATAATGTTCCAAGGTGAAGGGTGAGTCTGTTGAGTTTAATATCACAGCAGCAATCATGAAAGAGATAGATATGGATTCATGTTCAGCGCATCCTCCTGTGGCAAGGGAGTTAACTGACTGTAAAAGTCCTAGTTCGGGAAGGGTGAAAACTGTATGAATTAAGAACCACAACAGGACTAAAATGACTAGATTTATTTGTCTGAAGTAGGTAAAAGATGCAGACCAGGTACTATGCACAGCACAAAAGTAACACAATAAAAAAGTGTATACTTGAACGACTTAAATTCAAATTAGCTCAGTTATAAAATTAGCTCAGAGAAAATATTAGAGAAACTCACCCGAGTGTCTTTTCATATCAAATATATCAACACGAGTTGATAAAAGTGGAAAAATCACGAGGCTTGCCGAGGATTTTTGCCACTTTTATCAACGAGTGTTGATATATTTGATATCAAAAGACACTCAGGTGAGATTTTATTTATTATCCAACATCATTCTTCCAACTTTTTCAATTTGTAGACAGTAATTAGCAGTGTCTTCAGTGTAAAAAGTACTGCTAACAGCTTCAGTAGCAGAGCCATTAGTGATGTCATTTGATTGTGATGTCATGGTCACCAGTGATGTCACAATGGTCTGCAAAGCATTGTGATGTAATTTCATTGCAGCAATATCTACAGTGTAGATATCGCTTGATCTAATCCAAGCGATATCTCCTGTGGGGGCCAGTTTTGGATGATAAATTAAGTTGCTAGTAGAGTGTAACTTGTACCTCGCCCAAAACCCACCGGGACATACAACTAGAATATACTGAACAGAAAAGGCGGCGGATGGGAGGGGAATAAAAACAAATGTGTTCGAGTAGTATTTAGCTAGCCAATGACACCGAAAGGCGGGAATTTAAACCATGCCCCCAGGGATTGGTGGGAATAGAATATTAGGTCTCGTCAGCCCGAGACGCGAACATTGAAACGGGTATTATGGGTAGAAACTTGACCTGGAAAAGGCCTAGCAGACCTGAAAATTTTATAAACAAAGATATACCCCAAGCATAACCTAGCAGGCTGAAAACTATTTAACAAATGAAAAATGCGAACGCCTGTAGAAAAACAAGAAAGCCTCACATGGACAGGTGAAATAAACAGACTATAAACAAACGGTATGTGGCAAAACAATTGCTGTTGGGATCTTAATTAAACATTTTCAATCCACAATAAAAAATTGTTAAAATGAATGTAGAAATGCTGAGTTGATGAACGTAGAAGTGATCTGTTGAGTGACCCTGTGTACTTTGTTCTAAATAAGCCTGTGTTCACCAGGCAGTGAATGTAATCTGCATACAAGCCTTAACATGCCGCTTGGGTGGTATACTCTCCAGGAAGCTGAGAATGTATGTTTAGTGCTCATTATTCCTTTGACAGGGTTATAGTGATGTAGTTCTATGAGAATGGAATGGAATGGAATCTGGCGCAGTAAAGTTGGACTTGCAGTGAAGTACCAAGGCTGGTCACATCCATCTTCCTGAGGCAAGGGAGTTAACTGACTATTTAAGTCCAGTTTTCACCCTTGCCAATCTTGGCTGGATTTCCGGAGTTATATTTTGGCTGGAATAACGAGCCTATGTATATCCCAATCAAAATCTCGTAACGAATTAGGCATCCTGTTCGTAAACAATATGGATTTCAACGCACAGATTTTGGTCAACTGCAGGATTTGCAAATCGTGTACCATCAACTGGGTGTCAACAGTTTTTATGCAAATCATTCATGTTTTTAATCATGGCACTTATCAGTGTAAGACCCGTTTTATCACAATATAGATCTTGATGATCGATCTGATAGTCTTGACCGGGCACTGCCATTTTGGTTTGAAGCAAATGCAAGTGATATGAGAGATGGAATCTGATTGGTCAGTTGGAGGGACATTGAAGGGACATAACTCATAATAGCCACTGGTGGCGCTACGATCAAGCCTGGAAATTCTAGCTTAGTTCTGCAAGTATGTGTTATACCCATCTGTTAAGAAGTAAACACTTCCTCAGGTGTAGCATCTGTGTGTTTGCCAGCATGTACATTTTTAATGTGTTATAACATTTATTTTAAAGAAGCAATCTGACATGTTCACAAATGTATTATTTACATAATCTCTTTCTATATACTACCTTTGTGCATACTAGCATTATGCTTATTAAGGGCATTAAACTTTTGGCCTTTTAAAAAAAATAAAAAAATCTTTATTTCAGTTGATAACTTTTAATATACTACTCAAAAAATATTGAGGATCAGTTGATTCTTTCATAATACTATCGTTAACAACAGATTAACTGTAGAATAACTATAGTAATATGAAAGAATCAGGTGATCATTATATTTCTTTGAGCAGAAAAACACTAAGAGAGACATGTTTTAATTATATTTTTATTTGACAACCGATACAATTGTTATTTTAAAAGAGGTATCTTTAATGAAAGAAGAAAGGCTTATTGGGATTGAATATCATGAAAAGATACCAATTATTCCTTTGTCAAGTATCATCAAACGAATGAAAATTTAAGATTGAGGTAAAATTGTAAATAGTGTTTTATTTCTAAGATAGAGGTAAAATTGTACATAGTTTTTCAAAACCGGGGAATTTATTTATGTCCTTGAAGTCTTTAATTAACAAGTGCCTCAATGTTGTCTCCGACGTTCTGTATGCACCAATCATGACATGCTGCTGTGTAGGATTGTGTAGGTCCTGTGATGAAGGGAGCCTTGTCCTTGAGACGGTTGCAGTAACAACACCCACGTCGCCATCATCCCCTATTATGACAGCTGACGTGCTCACAGCATAGCTGTCATTTTTCATGTCTTTCACGTGAATACCTGTACTATTATGAAGAGTGTTGGTTCAGAGACTGACCATTTCATGTTCTGGGGGGCCTGTTTTTTAAAAGAATATTTCTTCCAGAAAACACTGAAAAGAATTTTTTTTCCAGGTTTTACAGAAAAAAAGATAATTTGCTGGATATCCTGAACATATGTGTTTTAGATATAATTGTTTGGCTCCTGTTTTCAGGGAGAAAAAATACATTTTCTGAAGCAGTGATTGAAAAAATATTTTGTCTGTATAAAAAATACACCCCCCCCCCCCCAGAATACAAGATGGACAGCTCTTGATTGTCACTACTTGACTACCATAATGTGATACAATTTAATCCTGTAAATACAGATGGTAGCATTCCTGGTGAAATCTTCCTGATACACAAACTGTGTACCAAGTAATTTCCATTACATATTGTATAGATCTTCAACAGTCTGATTTTCTGGTCCATCTCATTAAAATCAGATGTTTTACTCTGATATGATGCCTCTCCTCGTGAAGAGCTGACAACCCCTCAATATGATCTCGCGTCAGGTGAACTTTCTAATTCACCAATCAGCATCAAGGCTTCACAATTCTCAGTGCAAGTGAGCATTTTGAGCAACATATCAGATATCTGTATCTTAACAGCCAGTTCGAAATGCAAATAATAAAGGTCACACCATTATATTGTTGTGGATAGTTAAGTCTCATGGCATCTATGCCAAAAGGAATATTTGTGTTCTGTCTGGTCGTTTATTGGTTAAAATATAAATTTCAGAATCAATGTACTTAAATTGAAGCCAAATTGAGTTGGAAAGCTGGCATCAGATAAACCCAAGACTCCTTGCATCCTTAATTTAGATTGGCGTCTAAATGTCACAGAGGGTTTACCTGACTAAACAATATATGGAGTTGTCAGAGCTTCTTGCAGAGGGGAATCGTATCAGAACAACTGAAGTTAAAGAGCTGATATTTTTTCAGAATGAGTGTCTATATAGCAGGGTTTCACTGCCAAATGTACAGATGTGATCGGTGTGACAGACTGTGTATTGTACATATCAGTCCAGTATTAGAGAATGGAGCAGAATCATCCTGGATAATTCAATTATCCTGAAGAATATATTGCCATATTATTGATATAAACAACCTGGACCTATTAGCTTCCACAGCTTCGTTGTAATTCTGGTTATATTGAAACAAAGCTAAAAGTAAACATATCAACACGCCCATATTGGAACAAGTATTGACATCACCATTACCATATTCGACGTAATAAGCGCCCCGCTCTAATAAGCGCCCACGGCGACATTTGGCTAGTGAACAATCCCAATTAGCACCCCTTCCGATTGATCAATGTACACAAGACTTATTTATTCGTGTATAATACGCACTCGTGTGTTATATGCACCCTTAATTATGGGCATTTAACTCTGGAAAAATATATCTGTCGTTCATAAACATTTCAGGCTGTCAGTATAAACCACGAAATTTATCTTTCAACTCTGTTTTTTTCACCAAAATAATATTCTAATAAGAGCCCCCTAGTTCTAATTTTGAGAGCACCCTGGGCGCTAATTACGTCGAATACGGTACTGAAATTGTCTTGTTGGGTAGCTTCTCAACTAGATTCCCTCTCCACCTCGATATTTACCAGCTTAGACTTCTATATGCAAGTCTTCTGATAAAGCGAACTTTCGATGGTACGAGGCCCCCATTTTGAATGTAGATCTATGCCAAACTCATTTGGCAGTAATTTTGATAGGTTGATCATTTTTAAGCAGTGAACCAGAGAAATTCTGGAGATGGTTTTCATGAGCTTGACCATAAAATGGTCAAGACCAGAACATGATTTAGTGTTTTCATGTTGCGGTCATGTCACAGGACGGTCATGGAAACGCACAACTGCGGTCACAACCCAATTGACAGCCCAAACAATATGGTGGATCATGTGCCACCATCACTTTCCAATGAAGAATCTGACATAATTTAAATAAGATTTTGAAGGCAGGTAGCTGAAAAGTGGACAGATCTTGGCGGTGGTCATGGAACATAATTTTGCAGCAACTGCGTTGAAACTTCAAATCATCGATAGTGTCTGTCAATGCAGCCCCAAGAGTAGTCAGATCTGCTTTCTGCTGTGATGTTTTGATTTAAGGTTAATGTCGGTTCTGCGCCACGGTCAAAGTCCCAGCTACCGAAACTTGCCCATTGACCAGAGTCCATGACGTTCCGCCTTTGGTCAAGTCCCGAAAACCTAAACGTCCTTGGTTGGTGATGAAAGATTAAGATGGTAACATCACTTCGGTAACGAGGCTGGGGTGGCGGATGATTGCAATCAGTAATATTCCAGCTATATCACAGCGGACTGTAAATAATCAAACAGCCAAACCACCTTGTTCCCATTTCAGTTTTGCAAAACATTGTTGGATATATTCACATTTATAGTTACTCTGCTGTTAACTGATATATCAGTCCTTTGTAACATACATATATTTCATTCAATAAATATGCTTTGAGATTTCGATGTTTTAATTTAATCATACCACATTAGGTGAGGTGAGGTGAAATTGGGTTGAACATCGCGTCCAAGATTATTGCACTTATATAGTGACGTGCATGCACGTGTGTGTGTGTGTATGGCTGCTTGTACTAGTCTGGACTCATGCCGATTTATAGTGCTAGCTCACTGAGATACCATGCCGCAGTTTAACATGAATACCCCACTCAGACACAGTATACGGACTCCGAGCCGACCAGTCCTTGTTAAGCCCTTTAATGCTGAGCGCCAGACAGGGTAACAACAAGTACCATCTTTTAACGTCTTTTGGTATGATGCGGCCGGGGATCGAACCCCGGACCTTCCGCTCTCCGGGCGGACGCTCTACCACTAGACCACGGAGGCGGTCCATACCACATTAAAATCATTTCGATTTTGGTCACTTGACCAAATTATCGATTAGATTGTCTTGGCTGGGTGCCGCCATTTTGTTTGAAGCAAATGCAAGTGATATAAGAGATGGAATCTGATTGGTCCATAGGAGGGACAGAGAAGGGACATTACTCACAATAGCTAATGGTGGTGCTATATCCAAGCCTAGAAATTCCAGCCAAGGGTGGAAACTGGACTTTCACAGTCAGTTAACTCCTTGCCTTGGGAAGATGGTGTTGTACAAAACAGAGGCAATTTTGTAAGGACAGCGTGTCCTTTGTCACATGATTACCAACAGTTGGAATTGCACTTGGACACAATCCTTGAGTGAGTGAGTGAGCATGGTTTTACGCCACTTTTAGCAATATTCCATCACACATTTTACCCATGTCGGGAATCAAACCCGGGTCTTCGACGTGACGAGCAAACGCTTTAACCACTCGGCTACCCGACCGCCCCCACAATTCCTTGGCATCAAACCCATACTTTGGGGGATTAGTGCACAAGCTAAACCAACACAAGACTTCTCAAAATGGGATATTTTATTGAGAGGATGTAATACATACAACAGAAAGGGAAGCATCAGGACATTGACCTGACGAGATTAGCACTGTTGGAGCTAGGAGTGATGTAAGATTTGTAACAGTAACAGTCCTACATCGGAACACAGATCTGAGCAGCCTAGACTTGCAACCACCTCACACCATCATGACTGGAAACTGTGCAACACAGTTACTATAAGAGTGAGTGAGTGAGTGAGTTGTATGTTACGCTGCTTTCAGCAATATTCCAGCAATATCACGCAGGGGGTACTCCAGAAATGATCTTCACACGGTGTACCCACGAGGAAAATCGAACCTGGATCTTCAACGTGACGAGCAATCGTTTTACCCACTTGGCCATGCCACCGACCTGAACAACAGCTAGAATGGGATCTTATGATTTGTACATGTCCTCCAATGTCAAACAATGCCCATTGATCAACTAACTACAATCATGTGCCCTGAAATACTAGATGACAGTATCTTAGCTGATGTAAATGTTTGTTTTTTGTTTAATGCATTATACCTGCTATATGACGGCGGTCTGTAACAGTCGATTCTGGACCAGACAATTCGGTGATAGACATCATGAGCATCGATCCATGCAATTGGGATACGATGACATGCATCATCAAAATCAGCAAGCCTGATCACCCGATCCCGTTAGTCCCCTCTTACGACTAGGCCTATTCTACCCGAAATGGTAAGATGAAGTTGAGGTGATGTATTCCACCCATTGTAAAAAACTTAACACAGAATCCAGTCATGGTGATTACTGAGGGTGGCCTCAAGAGCTATGCAATGTTAATGCACCGGTAAACGCATTGACATTTTCACCAATAGTTAATACTTCTTCAACAATGCAACTATGTGCATCCATTCATAATGTGTAGCTACATAACTGCAGTGATATATACAGAGAAAGATGCACAGGATATAATCCGTCAATATCTTTAACAACTGCCTTTTCAGTCGGCATCAAAGAGTCACATCAAGGTCAAATCACTCCTTCAAATCGAATCTTGGGTTGTCATACCAAAACATGATTCATCAATCATTCTGATGTAAACCATAAGTTACTGAATGTATCAACGTGAGAAGAAGAAAACATTGGTAACAAAATATACAACAAAACACAAATAACAAATGAAACAGACATCCGTAACCCCATTCGTGAATAGCATCAAGCTGGGCACCAAGCTGTTGTAGCTGAATGTGACGGTCACTTCTCTCCGTGGGACATGTTAATATGGCACATTCAAAAAGCTATGGAAAGTGGTAAGCTGAAAACTAAATAGCTTTTCTTGCACTGAGCATTTAGAATCTAACAGTTCACTTTATGCCTCTGGGCGGCGGAAGTTTACTCCTGCGTATTTTGCGCTTGAGCCGAGTTCTTCTTCAATACGAAGGATTTGGTTGTATTTGGCTAAACGTTCAGATCTGCATGGAGCTCCGGTCTTTATCTGAAACAAGAACCCACTGTTGTTAAACACAGGAACATGGTTATTGTGTTAACAGACCAAAGCAAGACCAAGCAGCGCCTGACAAAGGGAAGTAACTCTGCACAGCATAACAGGCACCTCAGGCCAATTGACCCCAAGATGAGCAAGTATGGTGAAACCTCAAACCAAAAACTTTCAGTGAGTTGGGTTTAATGCTACTTTTAACAGTATTCCAGTTGTATCACGGCGTGTCAGTTTGATCTGGGAGGAAAGCCCGAAGTGATGCAGGTCTTAAACGTTTACCACTTCGGTGAAACCCACGAGCACGGATGTGGTGCTGACATACCTAGAAACATAATCAGGTGAACCAGTTCGAACCCACAATCTTAGGTTTCTGGTGTGACAAAGGGACGCAACTCTGCACAGCAAATTGCGGTGCCTTAGACGACCAGACCAGGCCACCTGTGCCCCTTTCAGTACTCTCACAGCCAAAAATGTAAACAGAGAAAAAAGGAAATCTCTCTGTCAATGATAAAGAAATGCCTCCTGCAGTACATTCTTACATGAAAATGTAATCACTTGCTCTGGTTTATGTCAGCAACTAAATGCTTTATAATTGATGGAAATACCCTTGTAACAGTCAAGCCATTCATTGTCTGTCAGCTTGACATACAGTAGAAACAGATATACTCATGGAAGAAAATAAGGGAACAGACAGGAGGCATTGTTTTTTATGACAATCTGAGGAATCTGAAGATGAGAGTGATTTATTGAGTATTGTTTTACGCCGCTTTTAGCAATATTCAAGCAATATCACGGCGGGGGACACCAGAAATGGGCTTCACACAATGTACCCATGTTGGGAATCGAACCCGGGTCTTCAGCGTGACAAGCGAACGCTTTAACCACTAGGCTACCCGACCGCCCCGAATCTGAAGATGATAAGAGACTTGTTGGATAAACTGGTGACACATTTCGCACCTCTATCTTGATGATATGTATTTTGAAGCATTTACATGTAATGAGTGAGTGAGTATTGCTTTACGCCGCTTTTAGCAATATTCCAGCAATATCATGGCGGGGAACACCAGAAATGGGCTTCACACATTGTCGGGAATCGAACCCGGGTCTTCGGCGTGACGAGCAAACGCTTTAACCACTAGGCTACCCGACCGCCCCTTACATTTAATGAAGCAGAAAACATTTTCTCCTAATATGACTGTTCCCAGTTTCCAACTGCCATGATATATTACCATCATCCCCGCAAATAACAGTGATTATCTGGCAAAATGGCATTTATCCATCTTGGAGACTGTTTTCTTGATATGAAGCATTCTTACTGAACACAACATCTTCTAAATACCAGTTCGGGACAGTGCATGCAAAAGTTTGGTGCACCGACTGGGATGGTAGGAGAACGTACCTGTCCGGTGCAGAGTCCGACGACGAGATCAGCAATGAATGTGTCCTCTGTCTCTCCACTCCTGTGTGACACCATCACCCCCCAGCCAGCGTCCTGGGACATGCAGCACCTGGGGGCACACAACAAGCACAGGTGAGGAGGGACTGACCATTCTGACATGGGGTTTGGTGAGGTGAGGTGAGGTGAGGTGAAATGGGGTTTAATGTCGCGTCCAAGATTATTGCACTTATATAGCGACTCATGGGGTTTGGGGGGGGAAGTAGGGGGAGTAAGGGTTTGGGGAGTTGCTGGTTGGGGGAGTGGGGATTCGGGGGTTTGGTGGAGTAGGGATTAGGGGGTTTGGGGGAGTAAGGGTTAGCGGGAGCAGGCGGTTGATTGGAGTAGGGGTTGGGGAGTAGAGGGTTGGGGGAGTAAGGGTTTGGGGGAGTGAGGGGTTGGGGGAGTAGGGATTAGGGGAGTAAGGGACAGGGGAGTAAGGGTCAGGGGGGTTGGGGGAGCAGGGAGTTGGGGGGAGGAGGGGTTGGTGGAAGGAGGGGTTGGGGAGTAGGGTGTTGGCTTTGTTAGAGACAGATGTTTTTTTCTTTCCCACTGCTTCAAGACATAAAATAAATTCGAAAAGGAAAAGTCAAACAATTCCTTTGCACAACAAATAACTTTTTGGGGGTTAAATCTGGGGCAAACATTTTTCAATATTTTTTAGAGCCAACTATCACTTTTAAATAACATCCCTAATACTTGTCAGAGAGATGGAGACTTGGTGAACAGGGTTGAATGCAGGATTACCCTGAGTATTGATATGGGGCAAGTTGTGCTTGGAAACTGTCTTTGTATTTCTTTATACCATACATTACCAAAGCATATCTTGATGCAACAATCAGTGATTCTTAAGAACAAACAGCAAAATCAATATTTCTTTCTGTCTAAAATCAAAGAACACTTTCGTCCCTTCACAAATATTCTCATCAGAGCATGTGGGTTTAGTAATATGTTTAGTAAAATGCCACTGTCGGTATTTCAGTTTACAGCAAATCAACTTGATTTTGGAGGTAAACCCAAGTACCGTGCTAACAAACCTAGAAACATTATCAGGGCAAATCTAGGATTCAACACCATGATCACAGGATTCTGGCCAACTTAAGGGACACAACTCTCATAGCAAATTCTAGCACCACCTGTGCCCCAAAATTCCAATCAGAATACCATTTTGATATTTACTCCTTTCCCGCACTTGTCTCGTGACTTCCAATTCCTACTGAAACAACTTACGCCTTGATAGATTCCGAGACGGTTCCAATCTGGTTGACTTTCAGCAGCAGACAGTTGCAGGCCTTGATATCGATGCCCTTCTGCACACGTGTGGGGTTGGTCACCAACAAGTCATCACTGCCACCACAAACAGAAAACATCAACATGTGTAACTTCTTTGAGTTGCATTTAGAAGTTGGAATGGTAACTAAGACAAAATTGTTATGGATGAGCAACTTCTTTATTACAATTTAGGAAGTAATCATTGTGTTAATCCCATACCCATCAATTACTGTACATCAACCCTATCTCTTGTATAAACTTGTCTTATCATAACTACCTAATCAATCAGTGTACATCAACCTTATCTGTTATATAAACATCTATCTATTGTTCTGTATATATATCATGCTCATACCTAGTTTGTACACCGTGTGCGAAATACGCATCAATCGGAAAGCGCACGTTAAATCTCCAAAGTAAGTAAGTAAGTAGTTTGTACATCATTTGCTTGATACTGGTGTTAGAATCTACAACGAAATGTTGCTCATCCATAACAATTTTGTCTTAGTTATCAACATGTGTACATGCATGGAGGAAAACGCTCAGCTCGACCATCCACTGACATTCACCATGTCAACATTTAGAAGTTGGAGTAATAAGTAAGGATAGGATTTATGGATGAACAACTTCTTTATTATATATAAAAGCGACGTTTCGGTGTAGGTTCTAACACCGTTATCATGCAAGGTATAAACAGAGGAAAATAACGGGATCGGGTGGTCAGGCTTGCTGACTTGGTTGATGCATGTCATCGTATCCCAATTGCGTTGATTGCCTCATGATATCAATCACTGGATTGTCTGGTCCAGACTTGATTATTTACAGACCGCTGTCATATAGTAGGAATATTGCTGAGAGTGGTGTTAAACAACAAACATACCCTACAACCTGGAAGTCAACAGATCCTGTGAACTTGGTGTAGGCCTCCCAGTCATCCTGGTCGAAGGGGTCCTCAATGGAGACGATGGGGTAATCCTTGGCGAACCCTTTGTACAGATCAGCCAGGGCATCCGATGACAGCTGGAACACAGGGGAAGGAGAGACAGTTGAAGGGAAAATTCAAACTAACCAACAACTTTGATCAGCACCGGCACCGGCACCAGCACCGGCATCTGCATGTGCGTGTTCGTGTAGACAAATGGAGGCATGTCATTATTTCTTCACATTATCTGCTTCCATTATCTGAATCCATATTTGATGTGGTCAAGCAAGCAGCAACCTTCACTTCTCACAACTTCCCTACTTCCCATCTACTAGAAAACTGAGAACCAAAGTCAACACTTAATATTGTTGAGAAAGTGAGTGAGTGAGTTGGGTTTAACGCCGCTTTCAACAGTATTCCAGTTATATCATAGCATGTCAGCTTAATGTGGGAGGAAAGCCCGAAGTGATGCAGTTCTCGGACTTTAACCACTTCGGTGAAACCCACGAGCACAGGTATAGTGCTGACAAACCTAGAAACATAATCAGGGCGAACCGGCGAATTGTGGCGTCTTAGACGACTGGGCCACCCATGCCCCCTTAATTTCAAGATATAGAATAAGCAGTACAACAATTATGAATGACAGCCTGACTCATCCATCAAGTTTGTTTCATGTTTAACAAATCACTCAACAATCCAGGCATGTAATGGCATCCTGTAAATAATCAAATGTGGACCCATCTTCCCGAGACAAGGGAGTTAACTGACTTTAAAAGTCCAGTTTCCACCCTTGCCGAACTAGGCTGGAATCCCTGGCCTCGATCGTAGCGCCACCAATGGCTATTACCAGTTATGTCCCTTCTACATAAGGACCAATCAGATTCCACCTCTCGTATCACTTGCATTTGCTTCAAACAAAACGGTGGTGCCCAGTCAAGACGATCTGATCGATAATCAAGATCTATATTGTGATAAAACGAGTCTTACATCGCGAAGTGCATCAAATCATGTGAACCTTGATTAAAAACATGGAAAGATTTAGAAAATATCTGTTGACAACGAGCTAGCGGTGCACATGCTTTGCAAATCCTGCAGTCGACCGAAATCAGCATGACACTTTACGAACCGGATTTTGATTTCGGTGCGCGATTTTGATTTGACTATGCATAGACTTGTTAGTCCAGCCAAAATGTAACTCCACAATACCAGCCTAGTTCGGCAAGGGTGGAAATGACTTTTATAGTCGGTTGACTCTCTTGCCTGGGGAAGATGGTGTGGACCAGTCACATCAGCTAGTTCTGACAACGGAACACTTACCCACTTAGCAGGGTCAGAGTCTGTGCTCTTGAAGTCCAGATCGTATTTCTTCTCCTTGCAGAACTCTGATGCAGCAATGTCCATGCCGATCTGGATCTTGCCAGTGTAGCCAGCATTCTCAATAGCCACCTTGACCAGCTCCAAGCCTGGACACACACAAACATGGAGTGAAGCAGAACAGCTGAAGTTAGCTCAGAATCATCAGTTCAGTATTTATATGAGTTTTGGCAACATCGTCAATACTTCAGGGGCTTGTTGTAAACGCACTCACGCACTCACGCACGCATGCACAGTTTTGCAATGTAGTTTTTAACCAACAAATCAAGCAGAGGCCTAGTTCCACTTGGTGCTGACCAATGAAAGTCCAGCTTATATTCTGGGATGAGAATGTTTTTTTAAAACAACAAACGCTGAAAGTCAGCCAGAAGTCTGGGGACTCCACGACATATGTGCATATTGTAATGGCATGTATCACAAAAAATCCTTGATTATTTACAGACCGCCATCATATACCTTGAATATTGCATATTGCAGCATTAAAAAACAGCCAAACAACCCACAAGCAAGTGCCCCTGGGGACTTCCTGGTTTGGGATCACCACTGGGCCAATACATTACACATGTATTTGTTTGTTTGTTTGTTGTTTAACGTCGCACTCAGCAATATTCCAGCTGTATGACGGCAGTCTGTAAAATTATCGAGTCTGGACCAGACAATCCAGTGATTAATATCATGAACATCGATCCAAGCAATTGGGATCAATGACATGTATCAACCAAGTCAGTGAGCCTGACCACCCGATCCCGTTAGTCGCCTTTTACGACAAGCATAGTCGCCTTTTACGACAAGCATAGTCGCCTTTTACGGCAAGTATGGGTTGCTGAAGACCTATTCTACCCCGGATCTTCACGGGTCTATTACACATGTAACAGGAGAGAGGCAAATCTACTATACCTTCTTTGTTCTCAAGGATGTTTGGTGCAAATCCACCCTCATCACCAACATTGCAAGCTGAAAAAAAAGACATATCCTTACTGCACAGAAATCTATTGATGTGCTGTTTTAACTGAAGCAGGCTGAATCTATTCATTCTTGACATGCTTAATAAAATTCATTGTTTTCATTCGCATTCAACAGCATCTCAGTTAAATCATAGCATGTTCGCAGGGAGATGAGAATAAAAATGGAACACACAGTGATCCACTGATCTGGGTAATAATTATGTGTGTGTTTCGAGCATGATATCCAGCATGGAAAAGCGACTATTATTATTATTATTGTCATTTGTATATTATTATGTGGGAGGAAAGCCCAAAGCAGATCTGACATATTTACCACAAAAGTGAAACATATCAGGGAAAACTGGAATTCGAACTCATGATCATAGACTCCTGGCATGCCCAAGGGAAACAACTCTACACAGAAATCTGTGGTCAATCAGACAATGACATGCCCCTATCCATCTTACTAAAGCCATACATTTAGTCAAAGTCATAATTTCATTATCTCTATCTCAAAATATCATGGGCAGTCGGGTAGCCTTGTGGTTAAAGCATTTGCTCGCCACGCCGATGACCCGGGTTCGATTCCAGATATGGGTACAATGTGTGAAGCCCATTTCGTGTGTCCCCTGCCGTGATAATGCTGTAATATTGCTAAAAGCAGTGTTAAACTCACTCACTCACTCAAAACATCAATGAGTTTGACTTGAACTCATCCGACATGCATTTATCCCCGTAACATACAGCAACTCACCATCCTGGCCATATTTCTTCTTGATCACAGCTTTAAGGTGGTGGTAGGTTTCTGTCCCCATCTTCATGGCTTCAGTGAAGGAACTGGCACCTGGGCAAGAGCATGTCAACTTCTCATAATTATGATGCAACCAATTCTAACCCATTACTTCACAGGCTGAAGATAACAACTGAGTTTCAATATGGTTCAACTTCTAGGACACCGACTTATGGTTATCCAAAACATCCTGAACAATATATTGTCAATTTTGATGATGACACTGAAGTCCTATCCAAATCATGGATATGTTCATATGACATTCGTCTCCAGCCAAATCCTTGCATTACTTACAATACCGTAATCGACGTAATAAGCACCCTGCTCTAATAAGCGCCCACGGCGATATTTGCTAATCTATTGGCCAGTGAACAATCTCAATTAGCACCCCTTCCAACTGTACACAAGACTTATTTATTCGTGTATCGATATCAAAGTCAAAATATCGATATTTTGCTATTGGTAAGAACTTAAAGTCAATAAATCGATTGATAAATCAGTTTCCATTCGAATGGTATCAATTTCAGTTAGGAAATATGCACCCTTAATTATGGTCAATTAAATCCTGGAAAAATATTTTTATCGTATATAAACATTTCAGGTTGTCAGCATAAACCACGAAATTTACAATCTTTCAACTTAAAATAATATTCTAATAAGAGACCCCTATTTTTAATTTTGAGAGCGCCCTGGGCGCTTATTACATCGAATACGGTATATGTAAATATGGATGACATAACAAGGAAGTGCTTTAAAATATGAACAAATTTATACAAATATTTTCCTATCATGATCCCATGAATATCTGGGTTAGGGCAGGTCTTCAGCAGCCCATGCTTGTTGTAAAACGTGACTATGCATGTTGCAAGACTCAACTAATGGGATTGGGCAGACTTGGTTGATGCATGTCATCATATACCAATTGTGTGGATCGATGCACATGATATCAATCACTGGATTATCTGGCCCAGGCATGATGATTTACATTATACATATGGCTGGAATATTGCCAAGTGCGGCGTTAAATAACAAACAAAAATCCTATGATGTCATGGTGAATGTGGTCAGTACACTGTTACAGTGATGAATAGTAAACACACCCCTAACATTGTTTGAAATGTGTGTGTGGAGGGAGGAGGGGGAGTTCTGGTATCCTTGTGTTTTCATGCCTGAACATTAGGCTAAAAAAAAATAAGTCTTGGTTTTCAGGCACCGCCCGCATTATCATAAAGTCTGCCGCATGTTTTGTTCTTATTTGATTCTAAATCAGGTTTGAAATTACCATAAGTCTGCTAGTCTACAAGAAAATTTCAATAGGACAACTGACATTTCCTTTTCCTAGTTGGTTAATGCAACTCTGCAGACTAGTGCAGGTTGCTGGTTACTCGAAGGCTATACACTGTACATAGATGATGGGCATCCCACCCATGTTGCCAGTAATGGAGGACCCCACCACTCACCTGTGGGCAGAATCATGAACTCCTGCATGGCCAGCTTGTTGCCGGCGTGGGTGCCGCCGTTGATGACGTTGAAGGCAGGGACTGGGAGGATGACGTCCTTCTTTCCAGCCAGGTCAGCAATGTGACGGTACAGAGGCACACCCTAACAGTAACACACAAACACGGTTAACAGTTTTTCTTCCGACATCCATCAAATCTAGCTTATTTTACAACACTGCAATCTTCAAATGTGATTTGTAATGGGGTGGGTGGGTGGTAAGTATGCAGAAGGGACATCACTGTTACAAAAAACTCTCTGAATGAAAATATGACGGAACCTCCACAGGTCATATCAGGTGAACCCTTAGTGAATTTGACCACCCAATCTGAATGAAGTATGCGTGGATTCTTGAGCAGTATGATTTGGCTTCAATTCATGACCCCCTTGATTCGAAGTGAAAGTTTGATCAGAGCAAAAAAAAATCACCACAGTACATAAATACACCCTTGACAGTACGACCTTGACAGTTCACCCTTGACAGTTCACCCTTGACAGTACGACCTTGACAGTACACCCTTGACAGTACGACCTTGACTGTACACCCTTGACAGTACACCCTTGACAGTACGACCTTGACAGTACACCCTTGACAGTTCACCCATGACACTACACCCATGACAGTACGACCTTGACAGTACACCCTTGACAGTACGACCTTGACTGTACACCCTTGACAGTACACCCTTGACAGTACGACCTTGACTGTACACCCTTGACAGTACACCCTTGACAGTACGACCTTGACTGTACACCCTTGACAGTACACCCTTGACAGTACACCCTTTTAGGTGTAGATGGCATGTGACTCAGTGGCTACAGGATGTTAAGAATATCAATAACCACATAACTGCAACTTTTCCATTATTTTTATTCAAATCGGTTATAGTCGTTGATACAGAAAACAGAATGCTTCACTCACTATTACCGAGTACGCCTTTGCAGCTGATTAGAAAGTTATTAGCAGCCCATGCTTGCCGTAAAAGGTGACTATGCTTGTCGTAAGAGGCGACTAACAGGATCGGGTGGTCAGGTTCGCTGACTTGGTTGATGCATGTCATCGTATCCGAATTGCATGGACCGATGCTCATGATGTCAATCACTGGATTGTCTGGTGACTTACCTTGGCAGCAGCTCCAGCCTTGCAAGCGGCCAGTGACACTCCCAGCATAGCATTAGCTCCTAGTTTGGCTGAAATGTCATATCATAGACTTCATCACGTGCCACTCAACGGGAGCCACATTATGTAGTTTCACTCACTTGCACTTCCCAACTACTTAAATACAGACATCAAATGAATAACATTCCTTGAAACTGATATTATTTCACTTGTAATATCTGTTTGATTTAAATTGTTTTATTCAATTTTGTAAAGGATTCTTTATGTTGGCTCTTCAAATGCTTCAAGTTTTCAGCGCAGTGGACAAATTGCCAGTTCTGAGATATAGTGAGTGAGTGAGTGGTTTTACGCCGCTTTTAGCAATATTCCAGCAATATCATGGTGGGGGACACCAGAAATGGGCTTCACACATGTCGGGAATCGAACCCGGGTCTTCGGCGTGACGAGCGAACCACTAGGCTACCCGACCGCCACTCTGAGCTATAGACTGGCAGCTACTTACACTTGTTCTCGGTGCCATCAAGCTTCAAGAGGAGGTCATCAACCGCTTTTTGGTCCTTCAGGTCAATGTCCTAAAGGAAACAATTTATAGGTGAAGTGTGGTGATATGGGGGCATAACGATGTGTGTTTGTGTGTTCGTGTGTTCGTGTGTTCGTGTACATGTGTGTGTGTTTATGTGCGTGCGTGTCTGTGTGTCATCTTCCCGAGGCAAGAGAGTTAACTGACTAAAAGTACAGTTTCCACCCTTGCCGAAATAGGCTGGAATTACTGGGCTCAATCGTAGCGCCACCAGTGTCTATTAACAGTTATGTCCCTTCTAAGCCTCTTCTATGGACCAATCAAATTCCACCATGTCTGTGTGCGTGCGTGTTTGTGTGCGTGTGTTTGAGTGTGTGTCTGTGTGTGTGTACGTGTTTGCATATCAGTGTGTACTTGTGTGTGTGTGCACGCGTGTTCATGCGTGTTTGTGTGTCCGTTAGTGTGAATGTCCGTTAGTGTGCGTGTCCATGTGTGCGTGTCTGTCTGTGTGTGTGCGTGTGCACGTGGTGTGCGTGTGTGGCATGCATGTGTGTGGTGTGCGAGTCGCCTTGTACTAGTCCTCCATATCTCCCAAAGTATACTTAAAGTGAAGAAATCACACAGTATTGCATACATTGAACAGTTTGTTGGAGATAATCATAAATGTGGTCACATTTAATTCAGAAGTGTATGTGTTTACTGCACCAAATCACAGCATTCAAAGTCTTTAAGTATGTTCTAAAAAACACTTACTTTTCCGATAAACTCCTTTGCAATTAAATCATTGACATTGCTTACAGCTTTAGAAACACCTGTAGGGACAGAAAAAAGATGGTTTCACACATTTGCAAAACATACATGTTCAATTTTGTAGTTACAATTAATAATGAAACTGTCAGGATAGTGTAGAGAGGTCACCTTTCTGTTCTGACTCAATCATGCCAAATCATGTAATGTAAAACAAAGGGGAAATTTGGAAATCTGTATTAGCCCGCAGGGGGCTAGTGTAAAGTTCTAACCCTGTTGGTTTTATTTTTTATCATACGCTGATGGGACGTTCCTCATCAATCAATGGTTTGTCTGGTCCACACTTCAATATTTCAGATCACTGTGATTTTGCTAGCATATTGCTGACGGAGGTGTTGAAACAACAAACCTCTTATAAGCATGGCTTCCATGCGTAGGTATTCCATGATGTCAACCTGTACAGTGCCAGGGCTACAGATTAGATGTGTATTTGCGTAAAATACCCCCCCAAAAAAAATAATAAAATATTTAAAACCCAATTACTTTCAATTAACTTGCATACAGAAACACATGCATTAAATGAAAAACTCAAATGTATAAAGACAGCATTAGGGCTGGGACGAGTCCAAATTTACTACCCGGGTACCCACCCCCTATTACCCGACCCTACCCGGGTACCCATTGTAGGTCTCAAGGGATAGGTACAAAATGTCTAATTGGGAATTTTTTTACCATAGCCCTGGCAAAATGTATTTAGATACATGTATCAAACACTGAAGTTGACTCAAGTATTATCTTTATTCAACCATATGAAAGGTCAGAAGGAATGGGTGCATAGTCAGAAAGAAATGCGAACATTAGTGACTTGTAGTGTATCTATAGAGATCCAGATAATTTTTGTCATTAAACAATGTATCATGTGACTAACCACAGGTCCGGGGAGTTCTGTGGGTACCCGGGTCCTACACAGTACCCACCCGACCCGGGTACCCGAGTTACCCGTCCCAGCCCTAAACAGCATGCGTAAATACCCAATGAAGCTTTTCCAGCATGCGTACAGTGGAGCTAATTTCCGAAACATAATTACGCGCTAATTTACTTTCCAAGTCAAGCCTATAGTTACAACCCTCTTTTACGTTTTAAACATTATTATCATTGTTTTTAAATCTCAAAATGTTTACTCATTTTAGGAAAAACCCAACAGAGTGATGAAAAGTTGAATGAAAAAATATTGATTACCCAATGAAAAATGTAACAACCCAATTGAAATAGAAACCTTCGAGTAAAAACTCTATTGCTCAAAAAGTTATCTGGAGCGCTGTTTAATTCTGACAACTTGATTTTGTGAACAGGGGCATATTTTCAGGAATTTTCCTTGCTTTTCTTAAATGTTAAAAGTGATACATATCAAATGGTGTGGGGAATGGGGTGGGGATTAAGGGTGTTCAGGTGGGGATTAAGGGTGTTTGGGTGGGGATTAAGGGTGTTTGGGTGGGGATTAAGGATGTTCAGGTGGGGATTAACGGTGTTCAGGTGGGGATTAAGGGTGTTCAGGTGGGGATTAAGGGTGTTCGGTCGGCGATTAAGGGAGTTCAGGTGGGGATTAAGGGTGTTCAGGTGGGGATTAAGGGTGTTCAGGTGGGGATTAAAGGTGTTTGGGTGGGGATTAAGGGTGTTTGGGTGGGGATTAAGGATGTTCAGGTGGGGATTAAGGGTGTTCAGGTGGGGATTAAGGGTGTTCAGGTGGGGATTAAGGGTGTTCAGGTGGGGATTAAGGGTGTTCGGTCGGCGATTAAGGGAGTTCAGGTGGGGATTAAGGGTGTTCAGGTGGGGATTAAGGGAGTTCAGGTGGGGATTAAGGGTGTTCAGGTGGGGATTAAGGATGTTCAGGTGGGGATTAAGGGTGTTCAGGTGGGGATTAAGGGTGTTTGGGTGGGGATTAAGGGTGTTTGGGTGGGGATTAAGGATGTTCAGGTGGGGATTAAGGGTGTGCAGGTGGGGATTAAGGGTGTTCGGTCGGCGATTAAGGGAGTTCAGGTGGGGATTAAGGATATGTGGATGGGGATTAAGGGTGTTCGGGTGGGGATAAGGATGTTCGGGTGGGGTTAAGGATGTGGAGCTCTGAGTGCTGTATGCTTGAACGTACCTTTTCCATGGTAGGCTTTAGGGTCCTTGTCCCTCATCTCTAGAGCTTCATAGATGCCGGTGGAGGCACCACTGGGCACAGCAGCACGGAACAGGCCTGATAGCAACATCAACACTCACGTTTACATGGATTACTGGTTCTTTCTTTGCATCAGTTCATCAAGGCGACTGATTGACTGGTAGTCAAGCTTGGTGACATGCTTGGTGCTACTCATAGTCATTATATCAATCACTGGTTTGTCTGGTCCAGATTTGCTGATTTACAGGCCGCAGTTATATAACGTGAATATTGTCATGATCGTTAAGAGCAGAATCAAATAACAAAAACAAATCTAGAAACAGAAAAAACAATTTTTGCCGTTGTTCAGATGATAAAACTGTTTACTGATAGTCATGGATATCTGAAGCAGTGTTTTCACTTCCTCGACTTGCATCTGAGAACGGACTTTAATGATTACAGTGCAAATAATTTAAACTTTACTAATAATATAAAACATGCCATGATTACCATGTGTACTGTTGATATGAATATTAATGCATATAACACAAACCATTTTCATTCCTAAGGTCGACTTCAACAGTCGGATTGCCACGGCTGTCGAAGATCTGTCTGGCGTGAAGAGTGGTGATTGGCATCTTGTTTGATGATTTTGAAACTTCTGCAATGTCAACAGTAGCCTATGTTAACAATGTGAGTTTGGCGTCATGCCAAATTAGGGCAAATTAGTTTGGTGTCATGCCTATTTAGGGCATAGTTTGGTGTTATGCCAAATTAGGGCAAATTTGTTTGGTGTCATGCCTATTTAGGGCATAGTTTGGTGTTATGCCAAATTAGGGCAAATTTGTTTGGTGTCATGCCAAATTAGGGCAAATTTGTTTGGTGTCATGCCAAATTAGGGTAAATTAGATTGGTGTCGTGCCAAATTAGGGCAAATTAGTTTGGTGTCATGCCAAATTAGGGCAAATTAGTTTGGTGTCATGCCAAATTAGGTCCAGTCAACATAAACCTCCTGCAGTGATTATAAGTATTATGAACTGAACACAAACATTGGGGTTTTGCTTCTGTGTTTTGAGAAACTTACTTATGAATAATCAGGAAAAGACTCTTTACATCCCTGACATTCACACAGGTTCCTTGAGGAGTTTGGCTGGATTATGCATTTTAAAAAGTGTGTCCTATACTTTATCCAACACATCACATCAGCAAGAGTATATCATATAACAATGCTAAAAACATCAACATTACTGGACTCGATTTAGCTTTATAAAACATGCACCAGTGCAACCTGTTATTGAAAAAGCAACCTAATATTTACGTCAACATGCACCAAGTGCATCTCCAAAAAATACAAATTTGTGAATGGCTAACCCTTACTTGTCCCCACATGATAAACATTTGAACACACTCAGTACCTCTAAGCTTAATGTACCATACTATATCACTCATCCCTGTGTTATATGTAATTCATGACACAGTCATCAGAGATCTGAGATGTTACTTATTTAGTCTAGTTTATGCAGCTTATGTTTCAACTCTGATAAATTTATGGGACCTAGGTGAAACAAGCTTTTCATGTCGACATACACCTGGTGCAGGAACGGGGTAAATCAAGTTCCTTAAATCAAGCTTTGCATTAGGGTTGGCATATTAGCACATAAATCATACTGCAATATAGTATTGCAATACCGTTTTAACTTTGAAACTTAGATGATGCAACTGCAGATGAAGTACCTGACATATTATTTTTCTAATCTGCACATCTTCCATTAGCTGTTGTTTCTGTAATAAAGTTTTTTTGTCAAACTAATGTTTCCTTCTCTTCTCTGATTTAGCAGGGCAAGTTGAAAATCAGGCCGGGCAAGTAGAATTTTTAAGTTGGAAATTTGGTATTTTGCATCTGAGTAATAACTTAAAGATTTTATACGAATCCCTTTCCCTGCAAAAGGTTAACAAATATCCTGATCCAAAAAAGAACTCACAGTGACAGCGTTAGAAATTGGCACTAGTCCTGTAGTCCTTGCCAAACTGCCCAACAGTAAAGGTATCATAAAGCCTAGTAGAAATTCGCCATTTTAAGGGTTTTTTGTGGTATGTTATCATTATAAGGTGAGTGAGTGAGTTGGGTTTAACACCGCTTTTAACAGTATTCCAGTTATCTCATGGCGTGTCAGCCTAATGTGGGAGGAAAGCCCGAAGTGATGCAGGACTCAGACGTTTACCACTTCGGTGAAACCCACGAGCACGGGTATGGTGCTGACAAACCAAGAAACATAATCGGGGCGAACTGTGATTCGAACCCACAATCATAGGTTTCTGGGGTGCCCAAGGGACGCAACTCTGCACAGCGAATCGCGGTGCCTTAGACGACTTGGCCACCCATGCCCTCACAAAATTAAGAAACGGTGTCATATCATCTGATACCTGAGCGACCATACATAAGTGTTGAAAGGCTGTTGAGTGCATCTCTGCAACTAGCCCAATATTCAGCATTAGAAAATAGGCGTGAAATGTAATGTTATCCAACGGAAGTAACTCTAATTTTAACTTAAAGGGACACTGATCTAACGGACTGGTTGTTGCCTTTGTTATTGTTTTTCCCCGTGAGTACCCGGATGATAAGCAACGCAACTGAGCGTGACCAGAGACTGGGGTACCGTCTGCAAGGACAGCTAAATAAACTTGGAGGCTTGAGGCAATATTTGTTTTACGCATTTTTGAACACTGATTGGTTAACTGTGATCTATAAAGATTTCGACAAAGGGCGCATGTTAATTCATTTCTTCAGCCTAAACAAACAGACAAAAAGAACAAGGGAGCTCATCGGACGTCGTCATTTGGAAATACCCCAGATGGTTATAGTTTAATACTAAAAACAGTATCCATGCAGTGAAAGCATTTTCGGATTTCGGCTTGCGTCGATAATACGATTACTACTCCCTTGTTGTCATCCACGTTTTCTCGTATAACCCTACACTTGTGTATTTGTCGTCATTCACTTGATGCTCAGTTAATGAATTTATTACATGTACAATTAGTGGTAGCACCACTTATATTACCTGACAAAGGTTCCCATTTGGCATTTATTGTGTCTGGGGTAATTATTCAATCTAAATCCAGGTTTGAAGTGAGGTGAAATGTGTGTTATGTAATATGCACGTGGCAGCCCAGCAAGAGATGAATGATCACTTGATTTACTTTTTTTTGTAAATCAACGGATCGTTCCTAGTCATCAAAGGATTAACAGAAAATACGTTGATTGATTAATCACTGTTATCTTGCACAGTGGATATGTCAAGAGTGAGTGTTTACATGTCTAGGTTTACTAAAACAAAGGGAATACACTCATATCATGGCGCGAAGTGCCGATGTAAAAACAACATACTTTGTTCAAAGGGTTAACTGATAATACGTTGATTGATTGATCATTGTTATCTATCACTCAACGGAATTCTTAGGAACCGTGGACGCTATGAAAATAGTTGTCACGTGGGCTTTCTCAGCCGACCATTGAGACTTGACACCTATGTAAAACACCTGAAACAATCCAAGCGATCAGTTGAGAAACGAACACGGGTTATAATATCCCGAAACGATATATATCTTTTAAAATATTTGATTGTTACTGAGACACGTGACATCGAATAAGTTTCTTTGTACAGCTGCAGACGAGTGGGATATTGTTCCTTTGTGTGGATATTCACGGATACATTCCTCGAACAAGGAAGCTGCCTAAAACTTATACACATAAATTTGGTAGGTTGTAATTATGATATCTGCATTTTGTTTTCCTTCATTTGAACCGATTCGTTCTTGTTTCTCTACGTCTTGGTTGGGAAATTCTTCAATGCGCGATAGACGTTGTTGTCACAGGTCTTTACCTTTGTAAGCGTGTATATATTACCGTCAATTTGTAAAATGTGATTCTCTCAGGCAATTTATAAAATGTGTAAATATTTCAGTCATTTTGACTAAAAAATCTGTCCAGATTGATCAAGACGATCAAAAGGGCCTACAAACATCACAACAGATTATTATGTAGGATTAAACGCCAAACAACTTAGAAATGTACTTTTCAACGTTACATTTTCAGTCTCTTGGTGATGACATTAAACATCAAAATGTTTGGAATTCGTTGTCATAATAATACAGATGGAAATGTTTTTCAGTCACTTTGTAAAATAACTGAATATTTAGACGTTTAATAAATTTGTTACACATTTGACAGTAAAAAAATATACACACTATAAAAAAGCATATGCTCAGGTGAAATATATACTTTGTGTTGCAAGTCAAAATAGTGTAAACGAAAATCGCAAAATTACCAAGCAAGTGACTTATCAAAACTTCGTCACCATTACCGATGCTACTCACAAAGATACCTACATATTTCCTTATTATCTCGAAAACTGTATTTCATTTTGTTGATCAATGTGACCATACGCCCTTATTACTACCCATAAAAGTGACTAATGCGCTTACGAATGGCGCAGCAGAGGTCGCGGACTAGTCTAGATTTCTGCTATACATCCGGGTATTCACTGGGAAAAAACAATAACAAAGGCAACAACCAGTCCCGGGGAATTGCGTTAGATCAGTGCCCCTTTAATGGGTTAAAATGCTGGCATTGCATTAAAAGTTTTCAAAGTTCATTTGTTGTGCACTTATTTCAGACTCGTGTTATACTCATTAACCTGACCACTTTTTTCGTAAATATTTACATATCTGGGGTCTATTCCGAAATTCCCTTTTTTTTTTGCATGATCAGTCAGACCATACCAATAGGCCTAGATCTATATGGTCTCAGCATAAGCTCGGCAATCTTATGGGGTCTATGCAAATGTCAAATGCATGACTGGCTGACGACAATAAATTATTGGAATACATTACATTAAAAACTTTTTACTTATTTATACTGTAGGAGCGTACAGCAGTATCACGAACCTAATATGTTTCGTGATCATTTGCATGACATTGGTTCATGTCATCTTTGACTCAGACGGTGACACGCCGGTCCCACTTAAAATGTTTGCTATCTTTTAAAATACAACAAGAAACAAAACCTTATGTTTTGAATATTCAGTTCAATACGTGCTCATCTGATTTGAATGCTTCAGTTGCAATAAGATGGAAAGAATAGCTGAAATCTCTGAACAAACCTGAGGAAAAGCACCGTCCTTTGATCACCCGGTGAAGGAATAGACGACCTTGAAGTGCGACCTTGATCCTCATTGATGGTCACCGAAGTCTCGCGTTAGCGATACTTGTAAAATAGAAATATTTCATTTATTTTCATCTAGACAGGTTTAAACAGCATATTCAAATTGATTCTTGAGATCATTATACAATTTGAAACAAAATAAGAAATAACATTAAAGCGCCCTCTTGTGACTAAACCGGAAACCAATATGGAAGTAGGAGGTTACTGTTTATTGATGTGTTGAATTACTTTCCAGCTTCGGTTGGCCATGGATAATCACAGCGTTCTGTGCTCATTACTTTGATATTAGGTGATCTTGTGAATTATAACTATGAAGCCAGCAGTTGATTTTAAAGAATGTCTGAAGGATTCCCCCAAATTCCGGTGAGTTTTGAGAAAGCAGGTGTCTATCACAAACACTATACCACAATGTCAGAGTGATGTATCGTGTAAGTGACAGATCATCAACTTCGGTGACAAATTTTGCGTCAATATTTTCTCATTCCTATTCTTTGTAACGCTTAAAAATATTTCTTTCTTATAACACATATGAACATTTATTTATTTATGTTATTCATTTCATACACACTGGTTATGAATCACAATGATTCATTAGTTTAGTTGATGTTTTTTGTATGAAACCTGTTCGTGGTGCATGATTTTGAGACATGTTTTAAACATGTTAAATGTAATAAAAATAATCACTGAAATTCTGTGTTTGCTTAAAAAGACAACATATACCTAGCCACCTTCAGATAAAAAATAACGCCAATATAAGTTTGATTTGCAAAATACAAATAAATGTGCCATGACACCATTTTGTCAAAATGAAAGTAAAAATTCCAATTTCATGCATACAAAAAATTCAACCTTGTCAACATACAAATGTGTTTGAGGATAATTACAGACGTATATACAAGATGTATATATCTATACATATCTATCTGTATCTTTTGGTTAATGTATTGTATAAAGATAATGTAGGAGGTAGTCTTATGAACTGATAATACCACCTTTTGCAGATGTGTTAATTTAGTGCATTCACCACAGTTTATTGCCATTATAAAGAGCAACCCTATGGATCAGCAATTGTCTGAAATTGCACCTGAAGCTCAAGGTTAATTACTTGATCCTGTTAATAGCAGGAATGTGTGATTGGATTGATAGTGATAAACACTACTGCCTGTCAGCATACTAGTGTGTATTGCCTGAATACTGTATACATTCTCTGCCCCTTGTAACAGATTAGTGGACTGTGGTTGAGATGTATGTTGTCATGGTTGTAGAACATCAACTATTATTCCGTATATGATCATGATTATTTTGCCATGACCTCAGAAAAATCAAATTGTCTCTTTCCAGGAAGATGATAGCTAAACGTAATCAGATCAGGTGTATAAATTAATGCCAGATGTAATAGTGTTAACATTAGAAACCCCAAAATATTTTGCAATTTATTTTTTCTATAATATTATTAAAGGCAAACAGGCTCTTACTACCAGTTTACTTGTTGATCTATTTGTACCTCTTTGGGGCAGTTGGGTAGCCTAGTGGTTAAAGCGTTCGCTCATCACGCCAAAGACCCGGGTTCGATTCCCTACTTGGGTACAATGTGTGAAGCCTATTTCTGGTGTCCCCTGCCATGATATTGCTGGTATGTTGCTAAAAGGGGCGTAAAACCATACTCACTCACTCTTTGTACTGTGTGATGACATGAATCTTGTGACATTGATATAAATGGTCATGATTTCTGTTTTGCCTGCAGACCCTTCTGCACAATTGGTTTGGCCTTTTGATTTCTTCTATGTCAGATTTTTCAGACTGAATTAAAGAGTACCAAGCATTTTGGAACTAAATGGGAAGTGTTGACATTTGTTGTGTAATTCGTTGTGATCAAAAACACAATGTCAAGTATAAGAAAACCCACATATTTATGCAGAATGATTAATTTATGCAGTCTATTTTTTGATTAGACAAATGCATCGAATAATAATTTAACTGATCTAATTAATATTCACACCCAGAGTATTCACGTTTCTGGCTTCATCGATTTTTCATTTAACACGTTTAAAATGTTGCAGAATGTATTTCAGTTAACCATCTTTAAATAACATCTAATTGCTTTTCCAATGAAGAGACTTGTAGTGGTTCCTTAAGTCCCCAGTACTTCATTCTTATTATAAGAGCTGACTAAAAACGTAATCAGAAGGTCAGGCACTCTCCATGCTGTCAAGTCCGTGGTTGGGCTGATTGTGCGCAACCTTCCCCCAATGGTGGATTGTTGCTCATGCCTTCAGTCACAGGTTTGCTTGGTCCAGACTTGATTCATAACAGGCTCCATGATGAACAACATTCACGTCCTCATTAATTTCTAGGAATAATAAAACTATATTCATATTGATGCACTCACAATAGGACATTTTAACCTTTTTATCTGACTTTTGGAAATTTTGTTAAATATCAAAATATCAGTTTCAGGTCAGTTCAATGTCTAGAACACTGACTGCTTGACATGACATGACAATTTAATATTTTTAAAGGAAGTACATAATATGAACAAATTATACAAATATTTCCATTTCATTATCATACAGAATGTGGTCAGTGCATGAGAACTAAAACATTTTCGAATTGTAGGACAGTATTGTATTTTTGTATGAAATACCCACCTTAAAACTTGTCAATTCAGACCTTGCTTGTGTCTTGTTTCTGGAAGTAGCTGTTTCTCTAAAGATAGTCCAGCAGGTTCAATATCCAGGAAATATGTGTGAAAGCTTCTAGTTTATTGACGTTTATTGACAGACATAGTTGTCGTTTCCTTTACACAATAATCTATTTGAAAAGCAAATAACATAATTAGGAAAGTTTGACTGTACATCATGTCACATTCTGTGGAAAGTGATTACTTTCCTGTAGGGCTGGGACGGGTCCAAATATACTACCTGGGTACCCACCCCTATTACCCGACCCTACCCGGGTACCTGCTGTAGGTCTTGAGAGATAGGTACAAACTGTCCGATTGTGAAAAGTTTGACCGAAGCCCTGGCAAAATGTGTTTAGATACACGTATAAAACGATTGGTCATGCATACACTGAAGTTTCCTGCATGAAGTTTCATGTTTATTCAAACATATAAAAGTCAGAAGGAATGGGTGCATAGTCAGAAAGAAATGGGAACATTAGTGACATGTAGTGTAACCATGGAGTTTTAGATAATGTTTGTCATTAAACAATATACCACGTGACTAACCATGGGTCTGGGTAGTCCTGTGGGTACTGGGGTCCTTCTCAGTACCCATCGGACCCGAGTTACCCATCCCAGCCCTACTTTCTTGACCTACTTCAGCTGTCACATTTTTCTTGTCCTAATGATACAATCAATGGGTTGATAGGAGTGTTCTAATGCATCAATGCTATCCCAATATCCCGAGGCTAGTGGAAATAGATTAGGACAAGTGAAATGTGATCATGGTGATGGACACTTTCCTGGTTGTCGAGATGGTTGTTGCAGTTTCTATCACTTGTTGCTCAATGTATCTTCCTACCTTGCTAGTTTTGACCCTCTTTGCCCGGGAACCTTGCATTCTGGGCATTACTGATACATTACTGTTGCATTACTGATGTATTACTGATACATTACTGATGCATTTCTGATGTATTACTGATACATTACTGATGTATTACTGATACATTACTGATACATTACTGTTGCATTACTGATGTATTACTGATACATTACTGATACATTACTGTTGCATTACTGATGCATTACTGATGCATTACTGATGTATTACTGATACATTACTGTTGCATTACTGATGTATTACTGATACATTACTGATACATTACTGTTGCATTACTGATGCATTACTGATACATTAATGTTGGGAATGTCTAAACTACATGAATATACATGTTTCAGGGTTTTACTTGATGCACAAATGTAGAGAAAGGACACAGATATCTTTTTACTGCGTCTTGAACGATGCAGAATAACATTCATTGTACCTACACCTCCTCAAGAGCAGTTATGTATGTCTGTGATTTCACCCATCAATCATGACCACTGTCCATTGATTCATTCCCGGCTCTAAAGTAATTATCTAAACATACAGCACACTACACCATATCAATACTTTACAGGACCCTCATATTGCCTGCAAGGACCCTTAAAATGTATTATTAATATTAGGGGTCCCCTGAACCCCCACCTTTGTAAGTCAAGGTAAAACCCTGATGTTTTTCCAGACCATTTCACTGGGAATGGTACTGTCCAGATTAATAAGGTTTCAGTGTACATAGGGTACAAGGAGATTTCTTAATTGAAATGCAGAAATAAACTGTGAAATTAGCAAATGATCACATGAAATACCCAGAGCTTCAGATAACTTTTGAGCAATTGAGTTTTTACTCTAGGGTTTCTATTTTAATTGGATTATTACATTTTTCATTGGGTAACCAATATTTTTTCACTCATCTGTTCATCACTCTCTTGGGTTTTTCCAAAATAAGTGAGCATTTTAAGATTTAAAAAAATGAAATAATGTTTTTGATGTATATAACTGTTCTAAATTATAAATTGATTCGGAAAGTAAATTAGCTCGTTATCATGGTTATTGTGTTTCGGAAATTAGCTCCTTTGTACGCATGCTGTAAAACACTGAATTATGTATTTACACGAGAAATAAATTGTGAAATGAGCACAACATCAAAGAATAGTTAACAAATTATTTAAAACATAAGGTTTATAATCACAAGCCAGTACAATGAATCGTATGAGTGGCAGCAGCAAGAAGTAATACGGTAGGCAGTGCATTCACGCACGGCCAGAATTTGTGTCACTTTCAAATGTCAAATGTCTTGAAAGAGGCACATGCTTTGTGCTTGAATCCAGAGTGTTGTTGGAAGCTGGAAGGAATTCGACATTTTCAGATAGGTATCCTGTCCACACTTGGCAAGAAGATAAGATGCAAGTCAGGTCGCGAAAGGCCTCGAATCTCCGTTGTGTTTCTCTTATATCGGTACATGCCAACTTTCGAGAAACTGTCCCATTCCGAAACGTCTCAAACAATCAAATTGGTTATTGTCTTTGAAAGGCATTTAGAAGCGATACACATTAGGAACATTATTTATGGATGTCAACTTCTTTCTTATGAGGAACACAACGTTTCGGAGTATGTCAATAGGTGAAGGAGTAAGTTTATACTCCGAAACGTTGTGTTCCTCATATAAAGTGAGTGAGTGAGTGAGTATGGTTTTACGCCGCTTTTAGCAATATTCCAGCAATATCACGGCGGGGGACACCAGAAATGGGCTTCACACATTGTACCCATGTCAGGAATCGAAACCCGGGTCTTCGGCGTGACGAGCGAACGCTTTAACCA